GCCACAATATTCTTGAAGAAAATGTATGAGAAAAACATTATTTGTCCTTGTCAGTAATAGTATGCAAATCTGCTATTCCCCCCCTACCTGTTTATTAGAAGCATGCTGATTTGGGCTGGTGTTCACCAAGGTAATTATTACGTAGAATATCATGCTCAGATTACATATTGCACTTCATTTTATTTCATTATGAGATTTAAGACAATGTAATTGTTACTTGATAGAAGATAGAAAAGGTCAGCTTTAATTTTAAGTTTTTAAAAAAGCTCCATTCCTTTAACTCTTTTGTCTCTTGTTTGTTGAATTCAATCTACAAACCACAACTCCTTTAGAAAATGGGAAGAAAAAATAGTACTTTAGAAACATAGATACCTGCCTTCTACTTTGGTATTGTCTACACTGACTGGAAGCAGCCCTCCAGGGCTTCAGCAGAGGTTTCTCCCAATACTACCCGCTGAACATGCTGAGACCTTCTGCATGCAAAGCTTGTACTGAAACACAGGCCTTCCCTTGTTTGAATGTTTTGACAAAAGGAGAGAGAGAAAATGTCTTCACTAAGGCATTATACACTGAGATTTCCTTTGAAGCATCATGGCAATTGAACCCAAGTGTGGAAGGGTGTTTGTTTCATGCCGCCGAGTTGGCAGAAAGGACAAAGAAGCTGCTCAGGGGCTACAACGGAAGCTGGAGTTGCTGAAGAAAGGGCCAAATGACATAAGACACAAGCCCCCACCTTATGCCACCTGTTTCTGTGTTGTAGCTCTGAACAACTTGCCCCAAACCCTAGCTGCCCGTGCACAAGACTGCATTGTGACATCCTCCTGTTTCTTGAACCGCTACCTGTTTTCCTACCTACACTCATCATGGCACAATGGGTCAGTGTGTCTGGCTGTTAACCAGAATGTTGGTGGTTTGAGTCCACCCAGGGATGGCTGTGGGCTGGATTCTTGCATTGCAGGGGGGTTAGACAAGATGACGCTCAGGGTCCGCTCCAATTCTACAATCCTATGTTTCTGTGCCAAGCTGCCTTTCCTCTGAAACTTTCCCTACCTGCCACAGTTGTCCAGGCTGCCTGTTGTTTAATTGTTCTTCAGCTTGAAGATAACATAAATTGCAACCCTGTTTCTTTCCTCTCAGTTTTCAGTCAGGGTCAGTTCCATCATTTCTGCTACTTAAGAGAGGACAGTTGTATTTTGGCCATTGGGTGGTTGTGGGACCTTTTCCCACTCCCAGTTGAACCCTTAGCAAGTGGGAGGGAGGACTACTAAGCTTTGTGGGTAAGGGTTTGCAATATTAGAAAATTCAAGAGAAATGCATTTTCACAGCTGTGGAGTTATATGTCCTATGAAGCAATATTGAGATAAATTCTCTGATAAATAACATCATTTTCCAGGGACAGTGCCTGGCCAAGAGCAACCCAAAGTTTAGGCTGCAGCATCTCAGAATATATAGAGCCATTCCAGTCAGTGAGTGATTAACCTCCTTCCCAATGACTGAAGGGTAATTGCTCACTTCATGCAACAATATTGTAAAATAAAAATATGTTATTAGATCGGAAGGGTGGCATGCAATCTATACTGGGTCCTTCTGTGATTTCCACACTTCCTGGATGGACAAATTGCTTCTGATTTTTGTAGAATTCTTTAATGCGATTGAGTAGTCTGCCTTTCGCTAACATGCTTTGTGGCCCAGCTGTGACATATACATTATGGGCAGGCCATAGCAAACCAACACCTTAGTTTCCATTACATTAAAAACACAGTTAAAAGCAGAAATAAATGTACTCTAATATAGCTCTAATTGTCATGATTTGAAATATTGCAATCCTTCAGGATCTTAGTAAATTTATCCTTACAGATTTCTTTGCTTTTCTGATAAAGTTATAATTATTCAGCAGGGACTTATATTTAAGTATAATAATTTCTACTCATGAGTTAGCAGCCCTTAATGCTCGTGAAAGTTTAGGGCAGTTTCATAGTGAACACCACTTGTGGCCCCATTTTTGCATAATTGCGTAGATTGCCACAAACAATTAAGTGGAAATAGAAATAAGGCAGCACTATATAGAAATATATTATATATTATAGAAATAATGCAAACTGTCCTGAGAGCAAGACCCACTAAACACAGTGGGACTTACTGTTAAGTACATGCATGGGATTGTACTATAATTAGAATGCCCCCCCCCAATTTACTTACAAAGTTCAATAGCATACAATAAGCACTGAGATTTGTCCATATTGAGTCAGAAGTGGTAAAATGTTGGGTAATATTTATTTATTTAAAATCAAATATATATCCCACCTTACTGCACCAGGGAGATCAGAGCAGTCAGTAAAACATTGCAAAATATAAACAAGGGATAGAAAACAGTCAAAATCACAGCAGTCCAGATAACTTCAGATGAAACTATGTAGCTAGTGTTTCCTTTGCTTCTTTATAATCACAGAGAGTCATAGCATACCTATTGATTATGGGGTTAAAAAGTATGTCACTTTGTTTTTAGCCTTGCCTTGTCCTTTGCACGCATGCTTGAAAAAGAGAGATTTGACAGCTATCTGGGGCACAAGGAGTTCTATTTTACTTCTTCGTGAGACATCTGGGGGGGGAAAGCAATTATGTTAGGGCTGTCTGAAATAAAAAAAGAAATAAAATAACATTAAGTAGAATTAAATGTGATGCAGCTTTTCAAAAGAAATGCCTCTCAACTGTACTTCCACGAATCGCTGTTTCCACCTAGTGGCTGCAAACGAGAAATGTTGGGTTTAAATTACAGATGCTATTTGAAAACACAGGCAGAAACCGAAAGAGAAGAGAATGTGCCACTAAGGGCAGATTTCATTTTAGGCACTTATACAGTCATTATATTGTTACCTATGCCAATGCAGCTCACAGGTTGTCAGCTTTTCATTTATAAAACACAGTTTTCAGGGGGCTTGAACTTAGTTATTAAAACTCATACTGCGTTGAAGCCTGGCAGCTTAATCGCTCTTTCAGGAAAAGCCGTGTGGTGCGTGCTGCAAATGTTCGTCAACAATAGTGCCCAAGACCTAGCAGAATTCCCACAAGTCTCCTGATGTGCAACTGGATCCCCAAGAGTCTTTTGTTCAACAGGATGGCAGTGACCCCCCTCCCTTCCCACAGTTCTATAAGCAAAGAAAATAGTTGTCTTTATCTTTAAAATAAAAGGAACTAAATCACCAAGAGTTTTCTAGCTAGGCAGTGTGCTTTGCACTGACATCTGCCATGGGTGGGGGGTGGAAGAGAAGAGACCCAGCACTTTAAAATCAAGATGCTATATACTGAGCCTCTGCTTTGTGTAGGTGCTTCTATTTCTGTGTCACTATAAAGCACAGACAAGGTTATTCCCTGTAGTTTCCTCCCACCACACCTCTTTATTAAGAGACAGGCAGAGAAGAGGATAGGGCTGCATTTGTTGGGTATGAAGTGTGTGTGTGTGTGTGTGTGTGTGTGTTTCAACGCCCTTCTTTTTGGGAGGGCAGAGGGGAAATTAGTCCTTTGGGGATTAATTGAAGAGGAGTTAATTGGAGTGTGATCTGAGAGGTAATGAATTGATGGTAAACTAATTCAAGGAGAATCAATTTGCAATGCTCTGGCTTGGAAATTAAATTGTTTTGTTTGTGAAATGTGCATTGCATTACAGCAGCGAATCCAATATCAAAAGAGTGGTTGGGTCTCATACCCCACCTCTGCCTTGTATTCAGTCTGTGGCTTAGGGCAAGTCACTTGTCTCCATGCGATGGTGGCCAGTGATATGCCTGAAGGAAGCTGATAAGGACATGAAAGCAACAGCATTCCTCTCATTTGGCAGAGAGAGAGGAGGAGGAGGAATGGTGTGTGTGTGTGTGTGTGTGTGTGTGTGTTGTGTGTAGCTGCATGATCAAGAGAAATGAGAAATGGCACTGAGTATGGTCATATCTAGGGACGCGGGTGGCGCTGTGGGTTAAACCACAGAGCCTAGGATTTGCCGATCAGAAGGTCAGCTGTTCGAATCCCCGCGATGGGGTGAGCTCCCGTTGCTCGGTCCCTGCTCCTGCCAACCTAGCAGTTTGAAAGCACGTCAAAGTGCAAGTAGAAAAATAGGTACTGCTCCGGCGGGAAGGTAAACGGCGTTTCCATGTGCTGCTCTGGTTCACCAGAAGCGGCCTAGTCATGCTGGCCACATGACCTGGAAGCTGTACGCCGGCTCCCTCGGCCAATAAAGCGAGATGAGCGCCGCAACCCCAGAGTCGGTCATGACTGGACCTAATGGTCAGGGGTCCCTTTACCTATGGTCATATCTCACACTTTGCTGCCATGCCGCCCATCTCTAAAATCAGTACATTTTCAGGAAACCTTCTAACTGCTTCATTCCTTGATCATATAATTCAAACAAGACAACTTCAAGCAATGGGCTGTGAAGGTGGCTTTTTAAAAAAACTAACCTGTTTTATTTATTTATTTGTATAACAAACTAAGATTTTGTGGAAGTGAAACTGAATGCTGACAATAGGTATGCCTTCCAGCTGCATAGAGGAACAACAGAAGGAACAGGGAGCAAAGGAACCCAAGACTTCCTTCAGTTTCATTCCAGCTCGTTCATAGTTATGGACCAAATGTAGCTGGACTGGGATTTCATGTATCCTGCCTTTCTGAATCAAAAGAAGCAACTAGCAATAAAATCCAAATCCATTGTAAAAGACTGAAATAGAAAAACAATCAAATCAGTATCTATTAAATTAACTAAGCAGGAGTAACGAAGATGAAAGCCAACAGAGGGAGGGGAAAAAACCTCTCTCCCTCTCTCTCTCTATATATATGTCAGGCTCAAACCTGGATAATATGACATCAACTTGGGAATGTCCTAGATCTAAGAGAATCCAATCAAAGGAGCTATAATTTAGCTGCTCAAGAATTGCTTCCAGTCAGAAATGTATTTGTTAAGAAGACCATTGCTGATACTTCAGATAAGAAAATAGACTCCTTTTGTTCCGTTACAGGTGGGCCATTAAACATGGAGGAACAAGTAAGCCTGGTCAGTGGAAACAGTCAAGAGTGGAAAATCCTTTGTGGAATAAGTTGACCTATATGTGGCCTGTGCTTCCAAATGGAGAACTAAACCAGGTAATTTGGTAAAGCGCAACCCACACATGTGCAGATATGTGCATAGCTATTTGAGTACACTTAAAAAGCATATCTTTATGCTTACATTTAAAATATACACTTGCAGATACACACTAATAGTGTGAAAAACATTTACGATGTTCATTGCATATTAGAAATGACGTATATAATTACTAAGATCACAATCCAGAGAGTTTCACTAGGCATGAATTTGATCAATCCTCACACCTAACCCTCTCCTTTCTCCTCCCCAGCAAACTCTTATTTTTCTGATTGTCCAGAATATACGCACCATTGTGCGTAATTCTTTTCATTAAATTCACTTTAACAAGTGTCATTTTGCTGATTTCTCTGCTTAGTTCCATATGTCAGGAAACCAATGCTAAAACATTTCTTTTGCTACTAATTTGTTACATACATTCATGGTCTGGTGTAAATGCTTATGGTTAGCACATGCACAGTATTTTTTCTTGTTCTCAACTGACTAAACTGTCTAAGCAAATTTGAATGTACAAAAAATATTCCCTTCTAAATATTAAGGTTGCAGTGCATGTAGGAGTATCTAATCAAGCCAGTGCAATGGGCAGAGCAATTCTCTTGGGCCCAATCACACAGTAGTGGCTATAAGCTCTCAGTAGCCTGACCTATGCCCCACCCATCTCTTTTCCCCCCCTTTTGAGGTAAATAATGCTGGATTGATTGATTTCCACTGGATTGGGCACCCTTCCACCAGAGCAGGGGCTGGGAGAATGTGCTGTATCCTAACTCAAAAGAAACGCCATGGTGCATCTGCAAGCACAACCAGATGCTGCAACAAAACATGTTTCTCCCATATCTGTCTCTACAGTCACAGCAGGCGCTGTAACCTTCCAACAGTTTGACTTCACCTCCAAAGGAACACTCCTCTACTGTCTCCCAAGACAGATAGATGCAAACAACCAGCCCAGTGGATTCAGGATTTGGATTGTACCATAAGACAGTTTAGGGTGAAGATTTCCTTCAGTGTTCCATAAAATGATGCCCTATGATCTAACTGATCCCTCAGGTCCCTACTTCCTATCTCAATCCTTCAACCTTTGATTGAAGACCAGCTTATATACTTTAAAATTAAAATAAACAGCCTCCAGCAAGTCCTTATTCTCATAGTGTCAGTCCACTCCCTAGCGCTGCAATGTGGAGATACTGAATTGGCATACATACTGTATGTGTGAAGTTATTTGGTCACTCTTAGGTTTTATATATATCATTGCAATTCTTATAAATGGAATAAACGCTTTGTTTATGTTTTGAAAGGCTTTTGACTGGCCCATTGAAGGCTTGCTGATTCCAAACAGCCCTCCCTTGAAGAAACCTACTAGTAAGAAGTCAGACAGCTATATGCCTCTGAGACTCAGAGTTTTGAAAAATGGAGAACAGGACAAAAGCAAAGCCATCTTTGTTCTTGGACCCGACTGTACAACTGTGGCTAAAAAACAGTAAGAAAATGATAGTTAATTTTCATAATCTAATGAGCACAGTAAAGTTTTTTTAATTTGTAATTTCCAAATCTATTACTGCTTTCAACTTTATACTTGAAAAGTTGCCAACCTCCAGAAGTAGCCATCTATTTTACTTTGTGGTGGTAAAGAAAACCCACTCTGAACACTGACTTGGCTCCCTGTGGTTACATTTCAAAGTGCATGAAGCCACTGGGCCATGCTCATGTGAATGCATCAGCGGTCTGAACTGTTATCTCCACCTGGAGACTGGCTACGAGGCCATCATAAAAATTCTGGCACTTTTTTAACAGCTGTAGTTGTGCAGATTTTGGCAGCCACGTTTCCACTACAACTAGTATGTTATCACAACAAGCTTGCAAGCTCACTACTTGATAGCATGGATAAGCTCATAAGGCCCACCCACCTGTTTCTTTGGAGATGCTATGGAATTATCATATAGGAGGATGCTGTTGAGATCTTCTGTGGCTCCTGGTGAGTGAGTGATTGCTGGAAAGAGAGGAGAGAGTCTAAGCACCTGACTCCCTATTGCTTACCCATTCCCTTTTTTATCCACTGGCAAGCCAGTTGGGTTTTTATTTTATTTCCCCCATCTAGTTGGGAAGAGCAAGCTTGGTTTTTTAATATCTGGAGTTGTCCTGCTCATTGGCTAATTGCCAGCCCCTTCCGCAATCAAAGGAGAGCAGTTTGCATTTAGGAGTGGTGCCATCAACAGGACAGCCCCTTTGGGTGACCCTGGAGGAACACACCAAAGGGAATTGTCCCATTGGAGGTAGACTGGAGGTGAGGGTGCCACCCTTTTTACTCCTCCTCGGAGCATTGTTTGCATTGTATTGCTATATGAGACTTAGATGTGCTGTTTGGCCTTACATAGGAGACCATTGGGACCCTGGGAGTTGGCATTCCTTGGGTGGGAGGAAGGGACGTTTTATGTTTGCAGTGTCCCAGGTGGAAGATGGGATGGAAAATGCCTGTGAAAGAAGTTCAGCTGGAGAGTGATTGCTGTGAGGTGCCCTTTTAGGGTGTACTGGCAATAATAGGTCTGTGACTGGGTTCTTTGTTTGCCTGAGCACCTGTGACCATCTTCAAGTGAGTGGATTTCAGGCAGAAGGTGCCTGGCAAGAAGAGATCTTGAAGGAGACACAGTAGCACAGCCTATCTCTTTGACTTGAGGGGAGGAACAGGCACAGCTGAAGGAGGGAATGCCAAAGGGAGGATTACAGGTGCTTATATCCTGTCCCCCTCACCAAGCCCCAGTCTATGCTTGATACACTGGGTGCTCTACCTCTGTGCCTAAAGGTCTGGTGGTGATATTGTTAAATGATAATCCATGATTTAGTTGTGAATGAGCAGGCAGACCTGGGTGAGGGAGCAAGGAGAGCCAGACATAACCCATCTCTGCCCAACTGAGCATTTGGTGCAATGCCAAGCCAGACTGGAGGGGTGGGTTGAGGGAGTTGCTGTGGTCCACAGGAGTTCACGCTCCATCACCGGGAAACCTCTCCTTGGAATGTGAGGGTCTAAATCTGGCGCTAGGACAAAGAGACAAGCTAGGGATGCTGTTGGTGTACTATCAGCTCTGCTGCCCAACAGCCGCCTCAGCCAAGCTGGCCAAAATGATCTCCAAACATGGTGTTAGAAGAACCCAGGACAGTTGTGCCAGGCGGTTTCAGCATCTACACTGAAGATGCCTTGGGTCCAGTTCAGGCCTCTGTGGCAATCAGCTGCCTCATGTGGCCATCAGCCTGACACACACACAGCAAGGCGTACACAGAACTTGGACTTTGCTTCAAATGGGAAGAGAGGAGCAATCTGGAAGTAGGTAGGGTGAATATTATCCTCTTGCCATGGTCCTGCCACTTTAATAATGTAACCCTTTTAATGACTGTGCCATATAGTTTTAAATGTTTTTATATTGTTGTATATCACCCTAATGTTTTGTGTAAGGGCATAATATACATACATACATACATACATACATACATACATATAAACATACAGTGGTACCTCAGGTTAAGTACTTAATTCGTTCTGGAGGTCCGTTCTTAACTTGAAACTGTTCTTAACCTGAGGTACCACTTTAGCTAATGGGGCCTCCTGCTGCCGCTGCGCTGCCAGAGCACGATTTCTGTTCTCATCCTGAAGCAAAGTTCTTAACCCGAGGTACTATTTCTGGGTTAGCGGAGTCTGTAACCTGAAGCGTATGTAACCTGAGGTACCACTGTACATACACAAATGCATCGCCAGGATTACTGAAGAAACTTGTCTGCAGTTGCTCTGATCAAGTAGGGAAGATCTGAGTGTTGAATCACAATCTTACACATTGCTTGTATCCTTATTGGATATGTACCCATATTAGCAACAGGTTGCTGTCTGCCTACATCACACTGGATTAAGAATGGAGTGTGTAGATCCCAACAGATAGGGGTTAAGACCACCATATACTTAAAGCACATTTTCCTCTCTCATAATCCTGGGAAATGCAATTTGCCCTTCACAACGTTACCATTCCTAGCACCCTTAGGCAAACTACACTTTTCATTTTGGCAAGGGACAAGATGAGTTTTAAATGTCTGGTGTGCATTAAGGCTAGATGTGCACTAGGTAATCCAATTCTTGTGGTAATGATGGGGATGTGCCTTCCAGTAGGTCTTGCAATGGTAACATGCTAATGGTAGCACATTTTGCTGTTTTCAATATGTAAAAAAATGGAAGGAAGACAACTGGAGACAGCCTGAAGTATATAAATTACAGCAATAATTTAGAATCATGTCCCTAGCAGATTACAAGCTTGTAAAGAACTTTTATGGACACATAGCTTGCCTTTCTGCACAATAATTCCCACAGAGTTTCACTTGAAGCTGTTTCCATATTTGTTGGATGCAACATATCTGTGAATATAAATTATATCTATTTGGATAAACCGCTTGAAAACAGTGAACATTATGCTTGGAAAGAGCAGATTTTGTATGTTCATTTTATATAACAGGACTTTGAATATTCATATAGCAGTGAAAAGCTTTGATGTAAAGAATAAGTTAAATACATCGTTTCTCACATTGTTAGCAGAGATGTCACCTTTTGACCTTTCTTTTAAGGTTTTTAGAACATCTGATACTTTTTGATAATGGTTTAATATTACTTTTTCAGATTGATTAAATACACTTCATACATCACTGAACAATGAGTAGCATTCAGATCGGCTGTCCACTGAGCTGCCTGCAAAAATGATAAAGTTAAAAAAATAATCTTCAAAGTAAAGTCAAGCCTGAAATTGAAATCTTTGACGCATACATCTCATAATTAGTTCTCCCTCTGCCAGATCTAAAATGTGAATATGCTGTTCTTAAAATTGTTCAGATCTTTTTACAGAGAAATTTAATGAATGGTATCAGCTTTTTAAAAAGTTCTTCCTCTAGATCTGAAGTTCCTCAAACCAAACTAGCTTTTATGAAGTTGTTGAATTTTCATATTAGGTCATTTAAGAGAGTTGGGGTTGGGGTGTGGGTTGTGATCCCCGTGGCTGATGCAACAAAGAGCTGGGCTTAATACAGGTATGTGCCTGATGCCAGAATGAGGCCATAATCAGACTTTAGGCCCCACTGTAGGTGCGATCGCAGTTAATTATAGGTTAACGCTGGTGTTATTGCTGCCACTTCTCCACTGTTTGTCAGTTTGATCTCATGTTGGAAGGAGAGAATTGGGACAGAAAGATTTTCTCATCCCTGTTCCACTGGAGTCTGTTTCAAAGGTGTAGGACACAGGATATAAATTCCATATAGCTTGATGTAAAAGTGATATACATATTGCATTTATTTCATGTAAGCACAGTAGGATCCCAAGAAAAGCCTTGGGCATACTCAGTGTCTTTAGACATGCCCAGTGGGGTGTTGCATTTCCTTTCAACAACTGACCTTCATGACATATCATGAAGTGTTTTGAAAGTTCCTTTTTTTCAAAAGCAGATTGCCATATGGCATGGAGAACAACTGTCCTATTGACCATGAAGGGTGAGATGTGTGGTTCTATGGATTTCAGCTATTGATATAGATGTATATGCAATCATTGTGTATACATTTTTCAGATGGTTTTGGTGGTAGTGGTGGTAGGATGTCTATTCAGGCAGCAAGTGTCAGTTAAGTTTTTTGTTAACCGGGAAACATTGTTGTTTTGCTGTGGTCCATGGTGGTAGATGCAGCAGTTCTTCCCAATTGGTGCCACCGTTTTCCATCCCCAAATGTTACTGGAATGGTGTGTCAAGTGAGCAAGGGTGGTGATGGCAGCCAAGCTAGTAGCTGTGAAGAAGGGCTCTTGCTTTTGTTGCTAGCTCTGCTATCACAGCTGGTGATAAACCTTCATTTTTTACAATAAAAAATGGCAGGGGAATTGGTGTTTGCCACTGGGGTGAGCAAACCCTGGAAAACCAATTTCAAAAGGTTTTCCCCACACCCACTCCAAATAGGGTGCTAAATTTTGGAGGGCATTTCATTTCAACCTTGTGTAGTTTCTGCACATTTCCTTTATGAAAATGTAGAAAATTTACACATATGAAGTAGGTTAGGAAGGATTCAGGTACTTTAAGAAGTACAAATAAATGTATTTATGTGATGCTGTGTATTTCCCCCATGTGAAAGGGAAAATAACTTGTAGCATTGTAGCATCAGTGTGTCTTATAATGACCAAGCTAGTGTCATGGCTATGAACATTGATGCCACCAGGAATAAGATGTGGAGTGAAGAGTGAATATTTTGTTTGTTTGTTTGTTTGTTTGTTTGTTTAATTAATTTCTATCCTATCCTTCCTTTCCTTCCCAAAGGAGCCAGGGATGGCAAACATCAAAAGGTTGAAACAGCACAGATTTGCCTTGTCTGCTGAGATTGTGTAGCTGTGTTTCATGTTTTTTCAGACTTGCACTGCAAGCTACAAAGCAGGATCTTTTTACTCTCTTGGAAGTTTTTTTGGTTAGAAAAATCATTCAAACAACATGCTTTAATTTCCTCTAGAAATGTTGACCCAGAAAGGAAACAGAAAGTGAAGAGACTCCCGAAGGCACACGATGATGCTGATTCGGAAAAGAAAATACACCGGAAAGAATTCCAGCATTTTCTGGAACGGTAAGTAAACCCACGTCACAATCTTTATTTCCCCCCAATTTAGATAGGTAAACACTCGTGTGCTAAGGCACATAGCCAACTCAATTCTCTCTAGATGTTGTTGGGCTCCAGGTCACCAGGGCTGGTGATTTCTTTATTTATTAGTATAACTGTATATCAGGAATAAGGGACGCGGGTGGCGCTGTGGGTTAAACCACAGAGCCTAGGACTTGCCGATTAGAAGGTTGGCGGTTCAAATCCCTGCAACGGGGTGAGCACCCGTTGATCGGTCTCTGCTCCTGCCAACCTAGCAGTTCGAAAGCACATCAAAGTGCAAGTAGATAAATAGGTACTGCTCCGGCAGGAAGGTAAATGGAGTTTCCGTGCGCTGCTCTGGTTCGCCAGAAGCAGCTTAGTCATGCTAACCACATGACCCGGAAGCTGTTTGCGGACAAACATCAGCTCCCTTAGCCAATAAAGTGAGATGAGCGCCGCAACCCCAGAGTCGGTCACGACTGGACCAAATGGTCTGGGGTCCCTTTACCTATATCAGGAATATGCAGCCCTCCCAGGGTGGTTCACACCCTAAAGGGAATTAAATACAATATTGAATATATTGTCTATAGTAAAACTGGTATCACAAACCACATCACATACAACAATAAACATGGTCAGCAAAGGCAGGCTGCCATCCTCATAACTAGTTTAACCAAAGGCCTGAGTAAACAGATGCATTTAAACTGGTGCAAGAAACCCATCAGGGTCAGTGACAGCCATATCTGTTAGGGAAGGACACTCCAAAATTGTGGTGATGCTATTGAGAATGTTCTGGATATGGGAGTTGTAGGCTAGCAATATCTGGCACTAGGTTGGCTGCTGATATGTCAAGGCTAGGAGTGGAGAGTGACACAGTTGCCTATACTGTATAGGCTATCCAGGCTTGTAACTCTCCAACCGTTTGACTTCACCCCAAAGGCCCACTCCTCCATTGTCTCCAGAGACAGATGGATGCCAACAACGGTAGCTTATAACTTTTTCAGTGCACATGACACATTTAGAGAGGCGTGTTTTGTAGGCAAAGGGGCTTGAAAGGCATTCATGCTTCCCTTCAATGTGCAGGAAGCATATTGAAACTTTCCTTCATTGCTGTGAAATTGTTCACTCGCCTTATACCTTCCCTTGCCAGGTTCCTAATTATTGCTCTTTTTTATTTGTTAATTAGCCTTCCCCTTTGACCATATCAGCTCACAATAAAACAACCATACAAAATTCAGACAGTAATAATATTTGCCATAAAATACCACCCTCAAACGCAACCATTGGGTTTTAAAAGCAGGAATTATAAAGCGAGGAATCTAGTGCTCACCAATAAAACTACATCAGCCTGGTGTGGCTGTGGAAGAGCACTCACTGTCTTTGTCATTCTGCAGAGATGCTGTGCTGCCATTCTGTACAGCTGAGGAATCACCAGTCTTGAAATTGCTCCCTGTAGACAGGATTAGTTATTTCCAAACCTGGAACCATTTCCGCTTTACTTCATAAATACTCCCCTGTGATGCTTGGACTTACGACTCCTAAGCCATCAACAGGATAAACGACACTTCAGGTTACAGCAGTGCTGGGTTAATTGATATTTCTAATGAAGAGTACAGTTGCCCTGTTTGTAATGTGCCACTTCAATCCCTTCAAGTGTTGAAAACTTAATGCAAACAGAGCCGTATACTGTATACACGTTTTCCTTATTTAAAAAGGTGCACCATGGCATTGAATTTGCCTTTTGCTGCCAGAAGACTGTTCACTGAAAAGGGGGTCGAAATCTGTCTTTTGGAAGACTTGGAGAGAGATCAGCTGGTAAGAAAAAAATGAAAATGAAATCGGAGGCATTAGTACTTCTTCAGAAAGCATTGTTCCTATAAAATGAGCAGATAATGATGAATCACATCCTACTCATATCGTTCCAAACACTGCTTGAAGCTATGGTTGTGTTATGCCCCATGAATATTGCAATTAGTGATAGGAGGGGGAAAATACCCTTTTGGCATAAACCCAAAGAAAGAACTCTTGCAATGGGAAAGCAGACTTTGGAAACAAAGTTTGAAATCTGGAAAATGAAAGAGAATATAAAATTGAAAATGGGCTTAATTTGAGTTTGGCATTTTGCTCAGGATACAGGGCAAAAGAAATAACAGAGAATCCTGACTTCTCTGGGATAACAAGGGTGGGATTTAGAATACAGTGGTACCTCGGGTTACATACACTTCAGGTTACATACGCTTCAGGTTACAGACTCTGCTAACCCAGAAATAGTGCTTCAGGTTAAGAACTTTGCTTCAGGATGAGAACAGAAATCATGCTCCGGCGGCGTGGCAGCAGCAGGAGGCCCCATTAGCTAAAGTGGTGCTTCAGGTTAAGAACAGTTCCAGGTTAAGAATGGACCTCTGGAACGAATTAAGTACTTAACCCGAGGTACCACTGTAATTTAGGATCATTCCCTCCAGCTTGTCAGGAGGGGTTCCCAGAGCAGACTGGGCAGACGGAACTGGAAAGAGCAGCAAATCCTTCCTTAAAAGCTAAATTGTTAACTAACCATCAATGAAACAAACAATGCCAACCCTGGGAAAAAGAAATCCGTTGAGACTACATAAACCAACAGCACTTCAATCTCGCAAACCTTTGTATACTTTACATATGACGTCTAGCAGAAAGAACCAAAGAACACCCTATTTACTCCCCCAAAGACCAGGACATCTGTGGCAAGAAACTCTTGTTTTGTCTGCAAGAGCAAGGAAGACAGTCTACTGTTATATAGAAAACAGTAGCCTAGTGAATAGGTTATCAGGTGTATAGGGTGTTCTACCAATGAATAACTCTCTGCGGCCAACTCTCTCCAGCCAAAGCCACATCAGCTGAGGCAAAGATGTTCACTTTTAACTGTGTGTGAAAGTATGCACCAACACCCAAGTAGCTGCTGTACAGATTTCTTCAAGAAGCACCCTACCCGCAATGGCTGCAGAAACCTCTACACTGCTTATTGAATAAGCTGTGGAGCACCCTCTGGTGCAGGGGTTGTCAACCTGGTCTCTACCACCCACTAGTGGGCGTTTCAGGATTCTAGGTGGGCAGTATGGCACAAGTTGAATCCTCCTTCCATCAAGCACTGGTGGGCGGTAAGGAAATTTTACCGTCAGGAAAGATGCATTAGTGGGTGGTAGGTATAAAAAGGTTGACCACCCCTGCTCTAGTGGAACCTTCGCCCTCTGGCCAGGGTCAACCTAGTCACCTTTTTCTCTAATAAAGTCTTTGGGAAAGGAACAAAGAGAGCCTCTAGCACACAAAAATGCATTGTATTAGGGGAAGTGGCTTGCAGAAATGTGTACAGTGGTACCCCGCAAGACGAACGCCTCGCGAGACGAAAAACTCGCAAAACGAAAGGTTTTTTCGTTTTCGAGTTGCCTCGCAAGACGAATTTCCCTATGGGCTTGCTTCGCAAAACGAAGCTTGCCCCGGGGACAGCGGGTCTTCTCTTTTGAAGCAAGGGCGGCGGGGAGATCGCTTCTCCCACCGCCCCTTGCTTCAAAAGAGGTCTGCCCCCGGACCTCTTTTGAAGCAAGGGGCTGCGGGGGAGATCGCTTCTCCCGGTGCTCCGAAGCGGGGTGGGGGGCGGGAACACCTGCCCCAGCCGCCGGGCTTCGTAGTGCTGCTGCGAAGCCGGGCGGGGGGGGCGGGAACACCTGCCCCAGTCACCCCGCTTCGGAACGCTGCTCCGAAGCGGGGTGGGGGGGCGGGAACACCTGCCCAGGCCACCCCGGGCTTTCGTGAACGGTGCTCCGAAGCCGGGTGTGGGCGGCGGGAACACCTGCCCAGCCCGGCGCGTGTCGAAAAGCGGGGTGGGGGGCGGGAACACCTTGCCCCAGCCTGCCTTCCGCGGCTTTCGTAGGCTGCTGCGAAGCGGGCGGGGGGGCACCTGCCCCCGACAACGGGGTGGGGGCGGGAACCCTGCCCCAGCCCGGCTCGTACGCTCTCCGAGCGGGTGTGGGGCCCGGCCGCAGGCGAGCGCTGCTGCGAAGCCGGCGGGGGGCGGGAACACTGCCCCAGCCACCCCGCTTCGGAACGCTGCTCCGAAAGGGGGGGGGGCGGGGTTGGGGGGGCGGGAACAACCTGCCCCAGCCGCCGGGCTTCGTAGCGCTGCTGCGAGCGGGCGGGGGGGGCGGGGAACACCTTCTGAAGGCGGGCGGGGGGAAAGTCTTTGTCCCCCCCTGCCTGCCTTCCCAGGGGCTTTTAAATCGCCCCGGACAGCGGAGAAGTCCTCCGCTGTCCCGGGGCGATTTTAAAATGCCGCCCGCCAGCATTTTAAGATCGCCCGGACAGCGGAGAAGTCCTCCGCTGTCCCAGGGTTTTTTAAAATGCTGGGGGTGGGAAGAAATCCCTTGCCCCCCCCCCCAGCCTTCAGAAGAGGTCCGGGGACAGTCTGTCCCCGGACCTGGTCTGAAGGCGGTTTCCCTAGGAACGCATTAATTGATTTTCAATGCATTCCTATGGGAAACCGTGCATCGCAAGACGAAAAAACCGCAAGACGAAGAGACTTGCGGAACGAATTAATTTCGTCTTGCGAGGCACCACTGTATATTTGTCAGAACTGCATACAAAAAGGTGTTTAATGAGGAGAAATGCACAATAAAATACTGGTGGGTTTTCATGAGGACTTTTTTAAAACAGCAAATCGCTGCAGAAATGTAAACTGAATTTACGATGGTAAAAATGAGAAACTGACAGATTTGTTCATCCCAACTCCTGAGCTCTATGAAAAAACAATTTTAGGAAGCCACACTGTGAGCTGGTAGTATATATAGTTCGTTAATAAGGACTTTAAATACCCTCCTTACTTTCCCCAGAATAGGACATGCATGGCAAGAAAAATCCTATTTTCTCCCTTCTGGTAAAGTGGGATAATAATCTAATCACGTGTCCAGATGAACCAAAAGTTCTTCTTGTCTTCAACAGACATTTATTTCAACACTGAAGGCAAAAGAGCTACTTGCCATTTTAGTGAACTATTGACAATGCTAAAAGTGTGGCTCATTTTATTTTAATATTTATTGAGTCACTATTTCCTTTTTATCCTAGAGATTGGTGTTTAAATTTTATTATGTAATAAAAGAACCATATTATACTTCCCAAGTTCAGCAATATTCATTGGGTATAAACCTTAAAGAAGCTGAGGAGAATTAATTACTAATTTTCTATGTAATCTATTTCTCTGATTTTGTTGCCAAGTATGGTGGTTTTAAAGGGCCTTAATTATTTAGCTTCATTTTTTTAAAAAAAATGTATTTAAATATGAACCATTTTTATTCAAATACAGAATTCCATTTTTCTTTGTTACATTTGCATTGCACTTTGCTAAAGGTATAAAATTGTTGCTATTGTTTTCTCCTGAAGCTTTCCTTTGTACAGTACTCTGCTAACTGCAGATGCTCCAGCCTCAGGTATTTGCAACAGGAATTCCTGAAATGTTTTGGCTTATAGTACTGTAAGTCCAATGCAGAAACTGAGAAATATCTGGAATTTTGTTCAGAGTGTAAGCTCAGCTGAAGATTTCATAATACGATTGATTGATTGATTTTGGTTGCTGTTTAGTTTCTATAGTAATAGTTGATTTTTTTATTTTAAAGAGATTTTATTTAAGAAATTCATATTCCATTTTTTAAAAAGTCCTTCGCAAAGCAGCCTACAAAATGTTTAAAATACAAATCTAGCTCATAAAGCATTTTCTAAATAATAATAATAAAATCAAAGTGCCAGAATATTTTGGTTTTGACGTGGTTCACATGGAATGCTATGCTGAACCATTTGTTGTTGTTGTTGTTTAGTTGTTTAGTTGTGTCCATCTGGAAGAACAAAGCAGTCCTCCTGCTGCTGCGAGCAAAGCCATGGTTTGCTGTCATCCAAACCCAGGCTTGTGGTTTGTCTTGCTCCAGATAAACCACAACCTGTAACTAAGGTTTACAACTGTGCGAAATGAAGCTACAGGGAACCAGGCAGAGGGCCTTCTTGGTAGTGGTGCCCACCCTGTGGAATGCCCTCCCATCAGATGTTAAGGAGTAATTCTGTAACATTTAGGAAATATCTGAAGGCAGCCCTCTATGGGAAAGCTTTTTAAGGTTTAATGTTTGACTATGTTTTTGTGTGTGCTGGAGGCCACCCAGAGTGTCTGGGGCAGCCCAGTCAGATGAATGGGGTACAAATAATATATTATTATTATTATTATTATTATTATTATTATTATTATTATTATTATTATTATTTTATTATAAATTATTATTATTTTGGAATAGATTTATGTTTCCTGTGGAGAGCAATGGATTAATCCATACTGGACTATGACTCAGCAGAAGAAACGCCTCCAGCTTAGTAATTTAGCATCTGATATAACTGCTATTCGTGCCTACTGTGCCATGCGAAACACAACAAGTGAGCAGATTGCTGTCTATGCTATTTTTGCAAAATGTACACTTAATATATGTGAATAAAAATAATGTGTAGATAAATTTTTATTAGTTTTCAATTACATTCCAATAGCCTCATTATAACATTGCCAATTTATAATACAATTATTAATGCCAATCATTCAAATACCAAATTATATCATTTAATTAAAGTGGGCCCCCATGTGCTAGTTTTGATGGCTTTCTGGTTTTCTTTATTTCTGTGTTCCAAAATCATATTATTTTCAATTACATTCCAGTCACATATCTTCTATTCTTGGTAGCTGAGTAGGGAGGCGAGCAGACCATTTGGCCTAATCCCAAGCTGGTGCAGCTATAGGGTCCAGATCAGGCCTGTGAGACCAGCTTGAGAACCAGAGGATCCGGGACTGCCTCAGCGCTGCTGTCTCCCACCTTTGGAAAAGCTTTCCTCTGGATTCTGCTGGCGGAGATAGCACCTGTAGGCCTCCTGCTCACCTGCACATTCAGTGGGCAGAAGGGGAATGTTTGTTCCAACAGAGTGATGCTTGTGTCAGCAGTGGGAGGTCAGCTCAGCCAGCAGAGCTAAGCAGAGATATGTCTCAGCACAATCCAATCCCTGGGGAAAGTATGAGGTGGTTGTGGTTGATTGCTCTGTTAGTTAAGTTTAAATTTGCAATATTGAACCCAATGGCTCTCAAAAGTGCTTAACTTTGGCTGGAATAGTCCCACTGTGGTTATTTCATAGCCACATTTTTTAAATTTACTGTTATGTTACTGTTCCCAAAACAATGGGTTTTGTACCTGACAGTAGAACAATTCCCCCTTCGGCTCAGTCCAGCTTGTATGTGATAGCACATAACTACAAAGTTCCAGTTTGGAAACTGTCATGAAGTGTGTAATATCAGCTGTATTCTGAAGCTGGCATAGCTGATGCCGTTCTTACAGCTAGTACTTCTGAATGAATGGAGGGACTAAAATTACAAAGGGCAGAACTTTGTCCTATATGCCAGGCGTAGGATGCTGAATTGGTTTGGAGAATTCAAACCAAGTTTGCAGCATAATAACAAAAAGAAATAGGAGTGCATATGGAGGCAAAGCATTGTGTTTAGTCATTCTCTGCTGAAGAGACTATGCTGGAAATCTGTCTTCATGTACCTCTATAATCATGAACACTAGAGCTCACCTTGTAAGAATTTTCATCGTAAATAAGAAACCTCTTCTGTAACTTAATTAAGGCCAAGCATTCTTGCATACATTTCTCTAGATCTTGCTTTAGAAGTCAAGAATGACATTGTTGCTGGGGCGAAACTATCTGTTGAAAGAGCTACAGTGGAATTTGAAGAGAAGAAGGTTGTGGAAGAGCTGCAAGAAAAAGAAGCTACTGAAAAAGTAGAATACAATGTGGATGAATGTCTGTAAGTAATCCTAAATGATAAAACACAGTAGGTAATCCAAAACAAAAAAATTCATTTGTGGAATGTTTAGGATGCAGCTATTAGGGCAGGGATAATTTCCATTTAGTTTTTTATGTATTCTTCGGATGGAGGGCCGTATATGAATTTAATTAATAATATTCTTTTCTGCTTACAATTTGAAGACATTTTAATTGTTTCTCCTACTTAGGATGATGAATGGTGAACACGATAGATAGATAGATAGATAGATAGATAGATAGATAGATAGATAGATAGACAGATAGTTAACTTAGATAAAATGGCACAGGAAATCCTTCTCAAATCTGCAAATGACAAAAAGTTGAACCCTTCAGAAATAGGAATAAAATTCAAAATGGCTTTGCTGGAATAGGACACTTACCCAAAATTAACAAAATGAAGTTTAACTGGAGAAAAATGCAAAGTTCTACTTTTAGGTGAAGAAAAAACAGCAACAGCCAAATGCACAAGTATAGCATGCGGGGGGGGGGGGGTTAATAAATTGCAAAGGTTTTTGGAAAGGCTGCAGCTGAACATCAGTCTGTGGAAAGAAAAAAACTTTTGTTTCTTGAAGGCCAAGTCTGGATCCAACCAATAATTTCCAAATCACCCAAAGTAATAGAACTATTTTAAGTTTTGAAGTTCTGTGTCCAGTTCTGGGTGCTTCACTTTATGAAGGTTATTCACAAACTGGAACAGTTCAGAGAACAACAAAGATTTTCAAAGATATGGAAAACATCATATGAGTAAAGGTTGGAAGAACTGGCTGTATTTAAGTTTGGAAAAGAAAAAAATGAGGTTGTGATGGGAGGCGGTGATACCATTCTTCAGCGGCCTGATGGGCTTTTACATAGAAGAGGTCAAAGATTTGGTTTTCTTCTGCCGAAGAGGGCAGGACTTGATCTGATGGGCTCAAGTTACAGGAAATAGACTTAAAATTAATAGATTAGAACCAGAGGGGCTCTTGCTTGCATTAGAAGAAGTCTGTCATTACTACCCTCCCAATTGCAGTCATCTATGTCACATCCCATGTCATTCCTGAGGATTCCCTGACTCTCGGGAGCAGCTTGATGAAGGACATATGGGCTGCAGCAAGGAGAAAGTGGCTGGAAAGTCCAATTCCATGTATGCACTCACATACATTGGAATCTAGCTTGATGGACCTTAAAAGTGCTTAACTTCACCTGGAGTTCATTTCCTCTCATTTTAATTACTTATTCTTAAGGGCATCGTATTTTAAAATAAACCAACATCCATTCAAGGCTTACTGGAGGCCATGATAATCCACTTTAAAAAGAGCCCCTTCCACTATCAAGAACCTGAAAAACTATTGTCCGTGTACTAAGGAAAGAGGACTGAAGCAGGAAACAGTATCCATATGAAATTGGCTGTATAAAAACAAATGCATTTACTCATTCAAGCAATAGGTGGCACTGTTGTTTTCTGAAATATAGAAAAGCTGTCAATATTAGGAATAAATCATAGAAATCATAAAGTAGCTCTTACTGTTGTCCTGTAGGGTGATACTAAAATCATGTCAGTGCTTGCGGTATCAGTGGGGAAGTATTCATGTTCCGAAAGGCTAATAATAATATATATTTCATGTCTTCGTATGCACTGGCTTCATGCATGTAAAACTCATAGGAAATGGTCTAGAAACACAATTATGGGGCATATTTCTCCAGGGCATATTTCTCCAGGGCCACTTGTTCAGGTGATAGCTGTCATTACACTCTCTGAAACAGGATACCGTGGGACCCTAACAGACTCTCATTTAGACAAGTTAGAATTTTTGTAGGAAGCAGACATATAAGATCTGTTAATTCTTGCCTCGGTAAAACTGAATCAGAGCCAATAAACTGAAGCTCAATCCAGATTAGACTGAGGTACTGTTAGTGGGTGGTTCTCTAAACTGGATAAATGGGAGGTTGCCTGCTCTTGATGGGGTTACATTCCCTCTGAAGGAGCATGCATGCAGCTTGGAGGTCCTCCTGGATCCATTGTTCACTTGAGGCTCAGGTAGCCTTGGCACGGAGTAACTTCCATCATCTTTGGTTGGTGGCCCAACTGTGCCCCTATCTTGGCAAGGAAAGTCTATGCAATGTGTTATACATGGAGCTGTCTCTGAAGACAGTTCAGAAACTTCAGCTGGTGAAGTATTTAGAGGCCAGGTTGCACTGGCTGCAAATTAGTTCTAAATTAGGAATTAGATCTACATCAGGAACAAGGAGGTAATAAATATTTCTATTGTGATCTGCTGTCCCTGTGGAACCTGCCACCCAAGACAGTCACTTCACCTTACTTCAGAGTGCCTTGTTTCCCATGTAAGAAAATGTCCGATTGTGTGTGGAGGAGACAAATAAAATCATTTGAACAGCTCATAGAATAAGTGGAATTTCTAAAAAAATTAAGGAAATAATACACTAATTAAACAATAATTAAAATGAACTTTTGTATATAGCAGATGTTGGACTGTATCTCTTGCCATCCTTGATTTTTGATCATGTGGGCTGTGGGAGCTGGACTCCAACATCACTGGAGGACCAGAAGTTAGCTACCCCTGCTATAAATTCCACCTTTTACCCTGCTTCATATTTCATTTACCTCCTGCCATTATGCTGTGGAGCTTTCTTCCTGACCCCTCTGTATCCTCAAACAAATAACTTGCTTAATGAGAAATGGTATGTATTTGAACCTGCAAAGTATGTTCTTATTGGCAATTTATAAGAGTTCCCATAAACTGCAAGTGGACAGCTCTGCTTGTGTGTCTTCTATTTCAAAGTTCATAAGTTGAAAGAGTAAATATTTCTTTAGAGAAGGTTTGCAGAAAGTCTTGTAGACCATTTTTCAGTTTAGTGCTTAGCATTGGCCTAAGCCGTTTTCTGTTGCTGGTTCAAATGTTTCACTTCCTGAGAGAAAAACTGGATTCTGTAGATGGGTAGCTTTTCACGGCCTTGCATTAGGGATGAGGGAGAAATTTAATTTGATTTACATTTAAAGGGGAATGTAACTAATTCACACTTGCCAAATCAACATGTGAACCAAAATGTGCACTATCCGAATTTTGCTGAAGAGTTTTCCAGCCAAGTGATGTGCACAAAAAGGCATGAAAAATGCTTAAATTGGTTAAATGCTTATATTGCAGAGAGCTGCTTTGCAAAAATGTGTGTAAAAGACAATATTATGTACAAAAAAATGTATGTAGGAGGAGAAATTCATCTTAAAATGTTGATGAACTTTCAAAAGTACTTCAGTTCATTTTTTTTTTTACTTCTAATTGTAATTCTAATTTACTGACTTTTCCATTAGGCATGCAGATATTATGTTGGACCGTTTATTATGTATTATTTGCTTAAAAATAAATAAATCTGATCATCCTGTACTTGACTGGAACCTACTGACTGCAAAAAAGAATTATGCCTACAAGTAAATTATGAAACTATAAATCCTCTATGCTGAAGCGCTGGATAGCAAAAAAAACCACCATGGAATTTGACCCAAATGGCAGTGTTGATGGAACAAACAAAATAAGAGCAGAGATATTAGAGCTGTGTGCAAATGGTCTCTCAAAATCCTCAACCCTATTTGTAGCTTGAGAAAGGTGGGGGGCTATTTGACCTTCAGGAGGAGACCTTCTCTTAACAGTTTTTTTATAGTGGGGATCACTATTAGCAGTGGAAATAGCCTAGGTTCTTTCTCTGTTTGACTCCACTGTCCAGTATAAAAGCAATGGACTGCTTTTATAGACCAGGCAATAGATAGTTCCTCTTTCTGTATGAGCTTCAGATGTTTCTTGGTAGGTTACCAGCTGAAAGCCACACAAGCAGTTGTATCTTAAAATCCCAGTTAGAGATAAACTACCAACCAATTTTTTTACCTCAGTTAACCATTCACATATCAAACGATATTATAACACAAAAAATCATTCTTATTTGTAAATTTATATACCGACAAAACCTTTCCCTCAGCGTTTGCTAATTCTCCACAGTTCCCTTGCCCCATTGCTGAGAATGCAGAAGTGAAACAACACGAGTGTTAGGAAGCCTGCACAGGTGTCAGGAAAACAATTCGTTGTGGCAAGCTGTTATCTAAGATAAGAAAGGGAACAAGAGCAATAACTCATTCACTTAGACACAAATCATGTTGCTAACACTAATGAAGCAGATTTATAATGCCTCTGTAGTTGATTTAGGTTTCTCCCCCCAAAAAATTATTTCTTGCTGAGAACTCTCCAGTCGTTTAGCAACTTTAAAGCGCCAAGTAGATACAAACTTCTGGCCTGCCTTACCTATATTTATGACCTTCCTGTGAGGTGGGTAGGGAGAGGAATCACAACCCCTGGGATTTTTCTCTTGACCCAGGAAACAGCAATTATCTCACTCTATTCTGAAGAAAGATTTCACAACCTGTTTAGGTAGGTCTGTGTACATCATAAGAACATAGTACAGTGGTACCTCGGGTTACAAACACTTTGGGTTACAAACTCCGCTAACCCGGAAGTAGTACCTCGGGTTGAGAACTTTGCCCCAGAATGAGAATGGAAATTGTGCGGTGGTGGCACAGCAGCAGTGGGAGGCCCCATTAGCTAAAGTGGTACCTCAGGTTAAGAACGGTTTCAGGTTAGGAATGGACCTCCGGAATGAATTAAGTTCGTAACCAGAGGTACAACTGTAGGTATGTTATAATGGCCATCACTTCTGGTATAAGAATCATCTTACCATAACACATACCAGGGATTTTCTGTCAATGGGAGAATAAGATTTTCATAAGATTTTATTTATTTATCTGAATCATTTAAAGACTGCCTTTCATCCAGTTATGATCACCGGGGGGGGGGTGTTCCCACAATAAAAAATAAAGTTACTATTTGTCACTAAACATTAGATAAAACCAGGAGTTTACAACATTGCAAGGCTCAAGCTAGCAGATATTTCAAAGGCACTCTTTCAAGTATTTAAATTCTAAGTTATTTCAGGGCCTTATAAGTCCGGGTGGCATATAAGCAGCAGTGCAGGTTCTGGGAAATTGATGTTACATGACTCTTGCTGGGTTCAACATTCAGCAAATTGTGAACAATAGTTCTTTTCATAAAATGGCTGAAGTCTGGTTATGATTCCTCCAAGCCACCTGCTAGTGACTAACATAGCTGCTAAACCCAGCACATGAAACTATGAAATGTTCCTTGAGGAGCACTGTTCTTAGAGTAGTATCTCTTGTGTTGTCTCTTGCAAGAGATACTAGTCTACAAGAGATACTACTCTGAAGAAAGGTTTTTATAACTGAAAGAAACTTCCAGATGCATTATTAATGTGTATGACCGCTGCATTTAATTTGTATACTTAACTGAATGACTCAGATTGGCATTTCAGTGTCATTTGACCTTACTATTTACAACCCTGTTCCTCCATCTACACCCAAGTAATATAAGCCTGTCAACTGAGGATAACTCTTGATGCATCTAATGAGCTGAATTATAGTCTACAAAAGATTGTACCATAATAAATGTGTTGTTTTTTTAGCTATTTCCAGACTTTGTTGTTTATACCTTCCTTTGTTGGTTGTACATGGGATTACCTCAAGGAACTATAGTCCTAGCACCTGTTTGAGTGCGGTCTTCTTCCTCCCTCCCTCTATTTTTGGTGCTCCCCCATTTTTCTTCTTCCCATAAGGTAGAAGTAATATCCACACAGTGATAAAGTAAAGTGTTGGTTTATATGCTTCCCACATAACCCCAAAGTCTTGTAGTAGTGTGAACTGTAAGGCTGGATGAGGAAACATTGTTGAGTACGCAATCTTAAGAAATGTAAAACTAGAATCTGAATCATTTAGACTGCAATTCTGCACACAGTTTAACTGCCATTGACTGTTTCAGCTGCTAATCTCTTAATAATCCTTAGTTTTAATTAATGACTTAACTTTTTATGAGAAATTTAAACTGGTGACAATCAGCAGTGCTTCAAATTTCATATTGAATTTTATATTTTTTTCAGGACTTCACATGCAAAATCTCATCTTAAAGCAGATGCATCTTATACACCCATGAAATATGCTTGGCAACAAAATCTCTATGATTTTGATGAGGACTGCAGCCTTCAGAAAGATAAAGATGAACTGTTCTTTGAAGATGCAGAGTTATATAAAAAATACAGGTCAGGTCGTATATTTATATTTCCTAAATTGTTTTTAGGACAGAATCTAGCAGTTTGGGCTACCACCATTCTGTAAAATCACTTGCTATCCACCCTAATCTCTTTCCATACTTTGTGGAATTAGAAATTTGCAGAAACGGTAATCACGTCCCTCTTATAATTTGGGATGGAGGCAGTGGTAGAGCTTCATGCTACTGCACCGAGGGGCAGAGAGCAAGCGGGGGCATGGCTGGTGTGCGTCCTGATGGTGTGGCGCGCTGCCCGCAGGGGCGTGGTGCACGTCCTGGGGGTGTGGCGCACCGCCCACAGGAGTGTGTTGCTCAGCTCGGGTGGGGGGGCAGCCCGATGGCACCCCATCAGGATTGCGCTGCTGGGGGCGGTGTGCTCCCCCTGCTCCCCTCTTCCTCCCCCAGCGGATGGGGGATAACGGGGGCTGCATTAGTTGCACCATTGAAAATGTTACCTAAGAATGCTGACTCTACAGAAGAGAAAGAAGTTTGTTGAATATAAACTTGGTGGGAAGAAGAAAAGGAACAAGAAAGTTGGGTTAAAAGCAAAGTTGCATTAAAAAACTCTTTAATTGTCTAAAAGAAAGAGTCAAAATGTCTTTACATGTTTTGAAATATTTTACAAACTAATTTGAAGGGTCTTCATTATTCCATTGCCAGCTCACAGTGACATATCATTTGTATTCTCTCTGTGACTTTAAAAATGAAGTCAGACTGAAGAGACTTGCTGGGCTGTATTTCAGTTAATCTTATTTCCAAATTTTCAAGTAAGCACAGAGAAGCACAATACATCTTAGATAAAGGTGAAGTCTATTCCAGTATTGTGTGGTGTCTAGAAAACTTCTTTATGAGGCTTAATCAATAAGCTCCTCTATGCTCTCCCTCTAGACCATTCTATACTTTCAGTTGATCTCTCTTTCCACAATTTCACCTTTCCACCTACCCAATTTCTCAATATCTGTGCTCAACTTTCTTTGTATTATGGTATGTATCTGAATTCAGATGTCAAAAGCACAAGTTGTAGAAGTAAACAAAGTTTTGGCACACTCCATTTGCCTTGCTCTTTTTTGTCCATTACCATGCAATGAAATATTTACAGAGCATTTTTCTGCAGCTCTATGTCTTTTTGTTTACTTCAGGCATCAGCCTAAACTGACTGAAGATTTGCAGAAAACTCATCATCAACAGTTTGAATTTAGAAATGGGAAGATTATCAACTGTAGCTTTCGAAATCTTGCTTTAGGTGTGGAGAATTCTGACCTGCGTTCTGGCGCTGAAGTGGTTTTGTTGGAAAAGAAATGTGACAGTATCAATCAACACTGGATATGGAGAGAGGATAGCAGGTGAACGTTCACTGTCGGAAATGTGGTAGAATTTCACAAGAATTAAATTGCATTATTAGCGGGACTTCCAATCAGGCTAGGCTACTTTTCCATTTCACTTGTTCTTCAAGTGCAGATATTGCGGGCCTCAACCACAAGCTAGTTCTAACATTTTCTAAGAAGGTCTTTCAAAAATGAAAGCATCTTAGACAAGGGGCTAAGAAAACAGCCAACATTATAATTTTTGTTTACAAAAGACCCTGCATTTTAGTCTTCAATATGCCACACTTTCTGTGAACCCTTGTGCATAGCTCAGCCTTAGTATGTGTAACTGCAATAACCCAATGTTTTATTCTTCTTTACCCTTTCCCTTTGTCTGTTGAATCCCTTACGTCAAGTTCTAAATTATAAGCCCCTTGGGGCAAGGACCTGTCATCTCAACTTTTTGTAAAGCGCCATGTTACATGGATGGTGCCTATTTATTATTTTTAATTATTTATTTACTTAGCAAAATTCAACAAAACTTCCAGGTCCTTTACAAGAAACCTTTCTTTGTCACCTCCCGCCTTTTCTTCTTACTCCTTTCCTTCTCACCTCACTGTCACAGAACTTTGGAGACACAAGATGAAGCCCCTTGAGGTGACACTCTGGGGAAGCCCTAAGACTCACTGCTGCACTCTGCAGCATTAAAATGTCCATGCAGCGCTTTGTGTAGAACCAGTTCAGTGTTATTACTGAAAAAGATATCTTTAGAAGAATCTAAAAGTGAGATATACATTTAGCAAGGAAAAAATCTTTTTTAAAAAAACTGTCTTCTGATTTCCACCTGACTTTTCTGTTCCTAGGACATTTCATCTTGTGCTGGACCCACAATTAGTGCTAGCAGTATCGATGCCCAGCATACTCAATGGGTATCCAAAGAGTCCTCTGGAAATGCAAGGGTGTCCTGTCGTCCTTCAGGTAAAACTGTTTGTGTGCTTATATAGTTTTACACTGCTTACCTTATATGCCAGAGTGGCTTCTAAGTAGTTTACAACTATAAAATGAACTTATAATTAACAATGACATTAAAACATCCTTAATTAAAATATACAATGAAGCAAACAATTAAAAACAGAATAAACAGAATAATTAACACACTTGGAAATGGTTAAAACAATAGCATCAGAAGTTCAGTTCAAGGGAGGAATGCTTGCCTAAACAGGTGTGTTGGCACATAATGGCAACTCTGATGGTGCCTTCTGTATTGCAACAGGGTGGGTATTCCATAACATTCACCTTAACAGGTTTCATTAGGCGATCGTACTGCACTTACTGTGCAGGGAAGAAGATAGTTTTTAAGGTAACCTGGTTCAGAGCTATTTAGGGCTTTGTGTTCAAGCAGTTTTTAAGGTAACCTGGTTCAGAGTTATTTAGGGCTTTGTGTTCAAGCAGTCGAACCTTAAAACTGGCTCAGTGGCTAATAGGCAGCCCTTGCAGGTCCCTCAGCACTAGTGTGATACCTCTGATAAGGAACACCAGTCATTACCCGAGCTGCAGCATTCTGCATCAGATGCATCCTCCAGACCAGCTGCAAGGGAAGCCCCACATAGAATACATTGCAGTAATCCAGACATGAGGTCACCAACGCATGTGTCACAGTGGCCAAGTGATCCCTGTCCAGGAAGGGTGCAGTTAACCGCAAAGGCAGCAATGAGGTCAGGCTGAAATCACATGATTCACACACCTTGCCCAAACCAGTGTTAACCATTTTGTGTGGCACAGTGTACCGTTGGAGGAAGAGTGTCAGCTGCTGGCTTTCATGGCTTGGAGCAGAAGTCTCAATAATTTGGCCTGCCCAGAAGGCTTTTCAAATGTTCAAACCCAGATTTATATGTAGTCATTAATGGCAAACAAAGTTCTATTCCTTTTATTTCAGCTAACCCATATATATTTACCAAGAAAAATGCTAGCGAGAGGAGGGAACTGTATTGTAGAGGTCAGCAGCAGGTGTTTCCCAATGTCATGCTTATTATTTAGTGGCAATGACCTAGCAATGAATAAGTCCTGCAAAGGCTATTATAACTGTATGTACAACAAGGCTAAAAACCAGCAGGATGCTGAAGAAGAAGCAGAAGAAGAAGAAGAAGGGGGAAGGTATATATGTTACCAGATAAACCTGAATATTTTAAAACATTTTCTTTTAAAATACCAGTTTGGAGAGAGAGAACGCAAAAAAAAATCTTAAAACAGGATGGCCTATTTTATGTTCTCACAGAAACACAAAGAATGTAAAAATGGAGCTGCCAATCAAAGGTGGAATTACATGGAAACTACAAAGGTTATTAGTGCCTTTTACAGCACAACCCTGGATCAAGAAATCACAGCAGCAAATTATTCTTCGATTTGCACATTTTCCGTGGCCAGCACAGAGAAAATAGACCAACCAGTAAGTAATTTTTGTTTTCTGTATAGACTAGAAAAATCTGACTTCGCTAAATCAGAAGGGTGGCAATGTAGACATGACTAGATGTATCTGTGCACCAATACCCAATAGAAAGAGATATCAAATATTCCGCTTCTTGTTGTCTGCGGTTAACAGAAGGAACAAGGATAAGGCAGGAATCAGGCTAGTGTAAAATCATGTGATTCATGCACACTCTTAGAAAACACATTGTTTTATGGCACAATAAAGACTAATAAATTTATTATGACAGTTTGATTGTCTTCAGGGAGACTGAAACGCTGGTTGGGGGACTTTTCACTACTCCAAAACATATTGTAACTAATATTAAGGTGGTCATCCTTGAACAAACAAATTTAAATGCAGATGGCAATCTGAGAGCGTTCAATGTTATCACATTGTGGATTGAATTGGTGCAGTGGAACTTTAGTTTAGCACACCAGTTGACGTACCAATACCAAAATGTTTACGTTTTCAACTATTGTTCCTTGTGGGTAGTCACTGTTAATAAGGTAATTATCACCATCTATGTTTTTCTGCATTTCCTTTCCTTCTGATCTCACTGCTTACAAGTGTGTGGCGTACCTGCCACTCAGGACACCACTTCATGCATTTGATGAAAGCTTATGACATAATAAATGTGTAAATCTTTGTTGAGTTAGCACCTTGCAGCAAAAACAGCTACACCCCTGGAAGTTGTTGCATTGTTTTATGTTCATTTTGTGAAACTATTGGGAAGTTCTTCTTCACAGATCTCATTGAAGTGAATGGGATCAGTGAAAGGGTACAAAGTACCCCAATGCGATTATATGGATTTTATGGGAAACATGAGGAGATTATCCATCTTAACAAATAGTGTGGTTCAGGTACTAAAACATCAACATGGAAGCTGCTTTTCTGTCAGCTCATACCATGGTGTAGCCTTTGCAAACCTGCTTCTACTTTGGGGGGGGGGTGAATCACACTGATCCCCACCACTTTATTGTTATCTCAGGTTACAGTTGGTTTGTCGGGACCTTCATGACTGGTTCAGTTCAAGTGAAATTGGCCTTCAAAGCCCTAAATGTCTTGGGACCTAAATATAGGCAGGAGTCATCTCATATCAGCCTATCTGTGTCATAAGATCTTTGGTTGAGGCCCTTCTCTAAGTGCTTTTCTTTTCCACAGTGGCACCCCATCTTTGGAGTGCCCTCCCCAAAAAGGTATGCTTGGCATTGACATTACAGTCTTTGTGGCACCACATTAAGACTTGAAAAGAAAAAATGCCCAAGCATTTTAAAGGTTTATGTTTCCTCAGAATACAATCACACGCATGTCTACCCAGGAATAAGCCTCATTGAGCTCACTCAGACTTACTTCCAGGTACTCATCCATTCTCTAAAGGTGCATTTAAAAACAACAACCAAGGATTCCATTTTAACAGAAATAGTATTACGCAACAACATTCTTAAAAAAAGTTATAATAAAAATATATACTTTTTAGGGAAATGTTACCTGCTCCCCCTGGCAAAAAAAAAGAAAGTGAATATGACATCTGTTATTCAAAAACTTGCTGTCTGTATCCAAAAAGTTAGAAAAATATTTGTATTTGTTTATATGTATTTAATACAAATACATCTTAGTATTTTCTGAACATTTTGGATGTAGACAAGTTTTTGAATAATAAATGTCATATTGGATCACTGCATTTTTATTATGGGTTCTGCCCCCCCACTCCCATTTTTAAATGGTTTCAACCATTTTTATTTATAGGGCTACTATTTTCTTTCACCGTGTGGAAAGCAGAAGGTAAAGATATGCTTGGCTTGTGCAAGGACCATAAGAGGAAAGAAGGACCTGAAAAGGTTGCTCCCTGGTACTGTATTCTCCTGTGCCTCTGGTTCTGAGGAAGGAAAGCATTATTCCATCTGGCCCTATAAGTGTCTTGATGTTAACAAGGTTTGTGACAGCGTTCCTGCTTTTCAGTGACACCTCCTGCCATGTATAAATGCATTTAGTGTAATCCACTAGCTGGCAATGTTAAGCCTTCTCTTGTAGATTACTTTGAAACATTGGCAATCTGTATTTCAGTCTGGAGATTAAAATGAGATTAGATTCACAATTTTTCTTGCTGGAAAATACTAGACACAGGTTACTATGGATTTAGGCATTCTGCACATGCTTTAGGGCTATTTCACTTTAAGTATAATTTTAAACATTTTAAAACTTACCCTGGCATTAAAATCAGGTTCTGGAGTTGAATTGTGGATTAAGTTAAGATCCTACTTTGATCAAAGCATTATTTCTCAGACAGAGTTTCCTATCTGGTAGCTGCTCTCAGACTCTGGAACTTCCTTCCTAGAGAAATTAGACTGGCTCCCTCCTTGTCCTTCTGCCAGCAGGTGAAGACATTCTTGTTAAGGAGGTTTTTAATGATTGGTGTTTTAATGTATTTTTAATCTCTGATGGAAGCTGCCCAGAGTCTCAGGGGAAACCCAGCCAGATGGGCAGGGCACAAATAATAAATTATTATTATTATATTATTGTTTCAGGAGGCTTTGGGGAACTGACTATTTTTAAGGAAAGGGCTGGTGCTATGTTGTTTTTATTGTAATGGTTTGTATTTATTAACACAGGTCATATATGTATTCTATTAATGTTTAATTGTTTTTTAAATGATTTTTTTTCTGTTTTGAGCTGTGAGCCACCTTGAGTCCCTGTCAAACAAAAAGGCTGGATAGAAATCAAATATAGTTATAATCTGTAAAATGCAACAATACTAGCCAATGCCATATAATTATTTTATAATGCTCTCCCCACTTTTTCTATAATTATCTCCCCACACTTTATCTTTACTGCTATATTCAAACACACACCAAGGATACTATCCATAATGTAAGATTTTGTTAATCTTATGACCAGATGCCCTGCTAAATTTATTAATTAACATAAGCACATTCTTAAATGATTTTTCTGGCTCTCTTAAAAAAAACGATGCCACATCTATGTAAAGATTTGTCTATAAAATGCTTTAAATTGTAAGGTATATTTATAGTCAGATTCTCTGAGCAATTCTGTAATTTGCAAGGTTCCCACTAAGTACTGCACTGTAGCCAATGAAAAGAACCTTTCCCCAGAAGCTTATAACCCTATTAAAAGTCAACAACATGGAATATGGTTGACAATATGACCCTTGGGTGCACATATACAGATTGCCAGAACAGCAGAGATATAAACATAACACACAACAAGAAGCTTTTCAGGCTTTACCACAATAAGAAAAGTATATAGAAAATTGTGTTGGGGGGTATTCATCTGGATGTAAGTGACAAAATAACAAGCAATTTTTTTACTGTCTGAACATTTGAGAAAGAAGGGCTTAAAATCCTGGTTAGTAGTCTAGGAGTAATTTTCTTTTGAGATGTAATATGTAACGAGGGCAGTCCTTTTTTCTGGGGAGACGCAGGGGTGAGCATACCCCTAAACATTTTGTGAATCTTAAGTTTGGCCTCATTGAGGGGCAGTATTTCAATATGAGTAGGAAAATGAGAGTCCCCGTGAACATTTTTCTTGGGGGGAAAAGCACTGAACAAAGGTGTAACCTTAATTATGTGGGGAGGTTAGTGAAAACATTTGTTCAGGAGTGTCTGTTCACCAAAGGCCAAATCTAATTCCCATTCAGTTTCATATAAAGGCATCACAGAAGTGTGAGGGCTTTTTTGTTTTGTTTAGTCAATTTAGTCAATATGTTCAGCTTAATATATATATTTTTATTTCATCAATATAACAGTAAGACATCCTATATCTGTGTGTATCCCCAACATTCGTTCATGTAATCCTATTGAAGTATATTATGCATATCTCTCAGTAGTATTTTAATAAAAGTTCAGTTTGGTGTCCTGTGTAGTTCACAACTCTGTGCAACTCATAGTGACATATGCAAATAATATAGTTACATCATCCATTTTCTCACAAGGAAAGCACTTGAATCAATGAGTTACCATTTAAAAATTCACTTTAACAGAAGTCATGATTGCATCTTCTTCCGTTTATCCTAAAGACTGATTTATCCACTTCTGAAGCTGAATCCACCTTACATTATTTAGAAGAATTTCTAGCGTCTTTGAGGACAGAAACATCATTGCAAATAATCTCAGAAAAGATGTCCGCAGCTGTAAACCAAAGAGCAGTGAAAATAATTGCATACAGAAATGGAGCTGGGTACAGAAATGGGCAGCTAATTGTTGCTAATACATTCCCTATGGTGAGTAGCAATCCTCTAGAGATCATCCTAACAGAATTGACCTGGACAAGCAGTAGGTACCAGATCATGGGCAAGAATCTCATACCAACAGCTAGGGAGAGGGGTCAGATAGGGTGTGTGGTGTGTGGTGGAAAATGGTTAACACATCCTCGCCTGGCATTGCTGCTTTGATCAACTATTTTTATTATTTCTTCCACGAGGGAAGGAAAGACAATTTTTATTTATTTTACCAGGCAACAAAAAGTTTTGTGTCGGCCCTGACATGTTCTCTAGTATATGTAAAGAGGCTCATTTAATGTTTTGACAACAGAGTATAAACATAACCATTAAATTGCCCTTGTGTCATTATCTCATGTTAAATGCTAATGCATGTTTGGAAAAAAGTTTATCTGGTATTGACTTTAACAAAAGGTTTCCATATTGCTGATATCTACAACCGAACCAATTATCTTGTGCATTCAAGGACAAATTAGACATGACCTTAGAGAGGCACCACTTTAAGTTTCATGAGTGTTTTTACTGTTGCAAATAACAGCTGTGAGGGATGAAGGGAGAATGAACCACCGGGACTGGAACTAAAAGGGGTGAGATGGAGCAACTAACCCATTTTTCCTGCTGTGCTGCCAACAAAAATCCCCCTGACATTGTTGTTTGCATTGGGAAGAAAGCTCCCATTGGCACCATTAGCAGCTTTCCACCTAATGCAAATAGCAACTGTGGGGCAGTTTTTGTTGGCACCCCCTTCCTGGTGGTTCTCATGCTTCACAATCTGTTGCTGGTTCCTGAGAGAGGGATGCACAGAGAGCTTAGAGCAGTGTGGGAGCAGCAAGCGAACCAATACGATGCTCCTGCCATCATACCCACACGACCACACTGAGCTCTCTGTGCCTCACCCTTTTCCTTCTCAGGAACCAGCAGTGCCACCCAGCATTGGGGAGGCAGGTGAGCAACGCCACCCTGCCTTCGCCACTTTGCCAACCACTACTGACAGAACTTAAAGTGATGCATTTAGTGCTGCATGTAGTTTGGTCCTCGTCCTATAAAATGTGAGGGTACACAAAGATGCAGAAATATTGCACTTATAATATCTCCAGCTAAGAATCCAATGGCACGAAATGATTAGAACAGGCATCCCCAAACTCAGCCCTCCAGATGTTTTGGGACTACAACTCCCATCATCCCTGACCACGGGTCCTGTTAGCTAGGGATGATGGGAATTGTAGTCCCAAAACATCTGGAGGGCCGAGTTTAGACTAGGACTGAGGTGACGCAGGTTCAAATACCCACTCTGCCAAGAAGCTCTTGGAGTAAACTTCTGCTAGCCTAAACTACATCTCGGGGTAGCTGTGAGGAGAAAAGGGAGGGGAGAGAGCCTATGTGCTGCTTGGAGGAATAAATAACAGAAAGAAAACTCTGAGGATGGCAATTTAAGCATTTTTATTAAATATTTGGAGTTAGTAAGCTTAATTATATGTCATTAACTTTTCCCCTTCTGTAGCTGCTTTCTTTATGCACAAGACGACTTGAACTTAACAGGACAGCAAGTAGACTGTACACAAGTGAAGGGACCTTAATTCTTACATTGAAGGATTTAGTCTTGAGCGCTGTAAATGATTATTTCAGAAAGCAGGAGTCTGAAAAACGAGGTGAAGGAGCAACTTTTGTTCCTGGCTTTAACGAAAACGCATCTGTGTTGCTTGTGAAAGGTAAAATACCACCCTCAGCAAGTTCCCAATTAAATTTCTCTTTAACTAGTATGTAAATTATTTCACTTCACAGAGCTAACTTTTTTGTAGTAAAGCTATAGGGAGCCTGTTTGCTGGTATGCTGCCAAGAAATATCTTGGAAGTCTCTCACTTTGTTTTCTATTTTCACAAGGAATAATGGCGTCTCATGGAGAAAAGATTAATGTTGGTACACTGTATTTGAACAAATGTTTAATTTTTTTGTTTTATTTTAGAACGCTTCTGCAGGTTCTAATTACCGTAGTTATTTGTACAATACATCTTATCATGAATCTTTACATGGGCCAAATATTACTTTACATACACATAAATTGTGAAAGCATATATGTCAGGGGTTCAGGAGCAGAGGCGAGGGCAAGGGAGGAAACAGAGAGCGAGGGGGAGGAGTCCGAAGAAAGGATGAGTGATGACGACGACCCGAGATCTCCGAGTCTTTCCAGTGAATCGGAAGATTCACAGAAAGGAGCACCAGTGGCCAGAGCAAAGGGGGGGCCTAGGTGGACACCCCAGGAGGAAGGGACCAGCGGGGGTTCAGAGGGCAGCAGTTGGAAATCGGGGCCAGCGTCCCCACCAGAGCGCAGTGGAGAGGAAGGACGTCAGGGATCGAGCCCTGGCAGCTCGCAGCAGGGAGGAGGGCATGAGTCAGGAGTGACCACACCCCCATCGGGGAGCGAAGAAACGGTCAAGCGGAAAGTGGAAGGTTGGGCGCGCGCGCCAAGTTCAAATGCACAGGAAGGCGGTGCAGTAAGCAGCCCGGAAAGGGAGCCAGGTCCTAAAGCCCGACGCAAGGAGACAGGAGGGTCCGGGGGGTCAGCGTCAGAGGAGTCCCGGAGGGAGGAGACCACGGGGGGCAGAGGGACCCAGAGAAGGACGGTCAGGCGGAAAAGGTGGAGTAAGGCGAGGATATTAAGTTGGTGTACGAGGGGCGGAGACTCAGACGGAGCTTCGCCGGTCTAGCCATAAGACGTAGAGTTGCACGCAGCAGCTTGGAAATGGAAACTGTAACTCAATAAAGACTTTTATAAAGCGAACGCTGGCTAGCGTGATCCTCTGTGAGCTAGGATCGGGGAGCAGCTCTGACAATATACATTTAGCTTAGGGACGCGGGTAGCGCTGAGGGTAAAAGCCTCAGCACCTAGGGCTTGCCGATCGAAAGGTCGGCGGTTCGAATCCCCGCGGCGGGGTGCGCTCCCGTTGCTTGGTCCCAGCGCCTGCCAACCTAGCAGTTCGAAAGCACCTCCGGGTGCAAGTAGATAAATAGGGACCGCTTACTAGCGGGAAGGTAAACGGCATTTCCGTGTGCGGCTCTGGCTCGCCAGAGCAGCGTTGTCACGCTGGCCACGTGACCCGGAAGTGTCTCCAGACAGCGCTGGCCCCCGGCCTCTTGAGTGAGATGGGCGCACAACCCTAGAGTCTGTCAAGACTGGCCCGTACGGGCAGGGGTACCTTTACATTATACATTTAGCTTATGTTCAGATGGAAGTTATATATTATATATCTGTTTATATATTATTCTTTTTAAAAATATATTTTTATTAATTTTCCAATATCGTTTCAATAGCAGCCTCATTCTAACAATACCAATTTTATCCAAGTAATACAATTATTAATGCCATTTATTCAGATGTCAAATTATACAATTTGGGCTCACATGCTAGAGTTGATGAGTTCATTCTTCTACCTTTTTTCTGCATTCCAAAATTTTAATAATTTCCATTCCATTCAGATATAACAAACCCTTATATAAGAGCTACAATCTTGTGATTTCTGTTTGTGTTGGTGTAATAGATAATGAAATGAAATCCGCTCCTAGTCCAAACCTTTTACATCCTTGTAGCTGGGTTGTTTTCGCAGTTTCTTATCTCATCGTCTCTGGCACGTGCCTGTAGTTTACTTCGATTACAATCCAATTAACAGGATAACCTGTGCTTCCAGGAATGGGATGGGGGGGGGAGTCGTGGCAGCCGTAGTGCTCTGTGCACCCAGTTCCTTTGTCTGCCGTCACATTCCATGGGGAAACGAGTGCCAGACCACCAGACAAACTGTGGGTGAGAGTCTGGTCCCTCTTCCAACCGAAGATTAAACAGATAATGAAATTCCCCCATCATTATTTTATTATCTCCGTCTGTCTCTCTCCCATGGTGTTGGGGAGACTCCATTTCTGCCGCATTGGAAACAGGAAGCCGGTGGAAGTTAAAATTCAGTAATCTGCAGGCATATTCATTCCAGGGCTCACTCCAGACAGTGGCAAGCTTCAACATTTGCCCAGGCACTAAGATCAGTGGAGGGCTCACCATCCTAAGAGTGCTACCATTTCCACATTGCTCAAATTATATTTTGAGACCGCTTTCCCCTGTAATTTCACGTGTAAATCACACTGAGTTACTTTAGTTAGAGAGCCTAAAAGACTAGGTTGTGATACTTCCACGCAAAGCTCAACCACATATGAGTACAGTAACCATTCACAACAGCACTGATAAGCAAGAAAACTCAACCCTATTAAGTCCAAAACAAATATAATCAAACTTGATGATAAATTCCAGTTCAGCAGTTTAGTGCTGGATTCTCCTGAAAGAATGGTGAATTTCATATCAGGATCTGAGCACTTGGGGGACTGAAATGTTCTCCCAATGGGTTCACAAAAAACTTATGTCAGAATTATCTGTAAGGTGCCACAATATTCTTCTGTTGTTTTTGCAGCAACCCACCTGGAATTTATTTCAGTGAATATATGCAAAGTATTTAGGAATTCCTTTTTCTCAATGAAGCAAAAGACCATACAGTGTGCAAAGAAACATGTTTTGTTAAGTTTAAATTCCTGCTTTATTTTTTAGTACCACTGAAAACAACTTTCTATATAATTTCTGTCTCTTGTTAAGCACAGCCATTCTTGTCTAGTGCAGTATTGATCTAGCTTTCAAGAATTCAATTCTATATTTATATTGGAAAGAGTTGTATACATTTTCAAAAAAGTATACCTTTGATCATTATCTAAAAATGAAGCATGGGGCACATTTCCCATTTATCATCTTGTTATGTTTTTAATATAGGTCTAGTTTACTTTTGGAGCTCTTTTTACATGTCTGTATTTTTCTTTTAAGTATTTCTTTCCTATGTATTATTTCCCAATCTTTATCAAATATACTCAGAAAAAGGGCTCATCTTATCTGCTTTAGTCCCCTTTATTTTCCTTCCTATTGATTTCCTAAGCAGTACACAAGCCCACTAGAGTCTTCTCATTATAAGTTTGCTGCTGCTTTATATTAGGCATCTTTCAGCTTATGAAGTTTACAGATTTTTATCTCATCCACTCAAAAATTTAAAGCAAAAGGTTCAAAAAACGTACTTAAAAATCAGTTCAGCACACTGAAGATTGGCAATTACCCATCATTTCTTCTTCTCAGCAAAAGAAAAGGCCAATGCTTCTTTGAAATTTAGTAAATATAGCTGATATTTGTTGCGTAAATAAACTTTATTATTTTGTATTTGATAAAGTATTCACTTTGTGTGGTAGATGGAAGCCTACTATCTCATTTAGGGGTGTGGGAGAGCAAAGCCAAGGAAAGAAACAACAACAGAAGAAACATTCTGAAATAAGATGTTTTCTGAATAAGTTGTGAGAAATATTGGTTAAATGTGAGAACTAAAGGTCCATTTCCATGGTCCATTGCAAAGTAGGCTGGAGACACATTTCTATCAGTGAAATAAAAGAAGCTACAACTTTCCAAGCATGCAATGTATAAAGGAAAGATTTGTTTCTTAAGTTTAGATTTTCTTTTCCCCTTTAAAGGAAGAGTAAATAAATGTACTATTCCTGGGATCCTCTTTAGTAACTATGGACTGCAAATAAATACAGCTGCAAATAAAACGTTTTAAGTGTGTTTTAAGTGCAATATACAATGTGACACTAGATGGCGATGGTGAGCCTTATGGAAGATCCAATTTATTTTTTAAAATGCTTTTAAAAAAGCATTTTCAGAACATTTTTTCTATGTGTGTGGATTCTACTGGTGTAAACAAATTTCCTTTTGTTTTCTGTTGAAATTCCTAAGTTTAACCCATCTTGTCCGCTGTGGTACAGAAAGTTAAACTGTAATGGTGATCCCTGCCTGATTGAGTAACGGATTTTTATTTGTGCAATAGGACTTCTCCTTTCTTCCTTCCATTTTGTAGCACTCTATGCATATCCAAATCTGCTGCATTGAATTCCCCAACCCTCTGGAGCAGATTTTTTAAAAAAATATTTTTTATTAAAGATTTTTGAGGTTTACAAAAGTACATGCATCAGGTTGTAAAGTCTTTTCTACAGATTAGTTACATTTGTTGTGAGGCATTAGTGTTGAGTACAGTATAAGGTTGGAGAAAAAAAGGGGGGACTTATTTTCTTTTTTCTAATGTACGTGTGGGGTTTTGTGTCAGCGTCAACTGGATAGGCTCTCTTTCTATCTGCCTGTTATATTTCCTTGGTAGTGAGAGGGGTTAAGGGGGCCCAGGGTGTGGTTGTTTGTTTGCGGCCGGCTGCAGTGGGGTTTGTTTGCATTTGTGAGGGAGTGGGGAGGGCTCGTTGGGTCGAGTAAGCCATATTGATTCCTATCCTGTCAGTGGGTTTTTGTTGTTGTCTTGCTGGGCTGTGCATGTGATAAAGGTGAGCCATACTGGAGTAAAGGCATCTTCTATTTGTCTATTCTTCAGTCTGTTGGCCAGCTTTTGTAGTAAAGCTGTTTCCTGTACAATTTGGCTCTGGAGCAGATTTGAGGTTGGATGGGCTTTGGGGGACAGGAGAGGAAGAGGAAGCCCCGTTGCATGAACAGAAGTACACTCACACAATGTTAGATGTCACTGCATATTTATATTGAAGATAGCTGTGTACAGGTGGCCCAAACCTTACATCAGGGTTACATTCCGGGGGTTCCACACACAAAGGGGAAAAGTGTGTAAGGTATGGCCATCTCTAACTTGCCGGGCTTTGGGAAGGTTGTGCAAGCTCTCGTAGGGACTTTACCAGAGGCACCAGGTTGCCCCCAAGATTGAGGGGGCCTGGCACACAGCATGCGTGTGACACCACCCACAGGTTGCATGTGTGTGATGTCAAATGCACAACATTGCCTAGAGGAGACCGAGCGCTCTGGAGGAGCCAGCTACTGGAGCTGTGATGCACAATATGCGTGACATCACACACATGTGCCTGCCTACCTCAAAACTGCGGGCGTCTGGCCCTTTCCCAGCAACTGTTGAGGGGACTGAAGACACCTCGGCTCCCTAGAGTTGACTTGCCTGGTTTTTACAAGATCTTGTGAGATCTCAGGTGGTCCCTTCTAACTGTTCTCCATTTATTTAGTTTCCCACCACCCACACAAAGCTGCAATTGCATGAGTAAATCAAGTGTAAGTTGTGGGTCTACTGTATATTCAAAGATCTAAAATTCATAATTATCTAAGAGTGGGTGCCCAATACAAGTAGGCTTGTATTGTAATTAATACAAGTGGGCATCTTTCTTATTCAATTTTTTAGTAGTCTTGCCATAACTTTAATTCAGTGTTATCTCCAGGAATAGCTAGGAAAAAACTCCTGTCTGAAACTCTGGAAACCACTACCAGTCAATCAGTGCAAAGACCATAATGAGCTAAATGGGCCAATGGTCTGACTGTGTAGGGCAGCTTACTTTGTTCTTATTGTATATCATCAACACTATGATTGAGGATCTCCACTTCGGTGGCAAGAGCTTACTGATGTTAGGACACCCAGTGTTCACCTATGAACACAAACCTTAAATACCCAATATATGAAAAGGGAAATAAAAGCAAGATATGGTGTGATTTGAATTTTTTAAAAGATGACAAAATGACACCAAAACTGCAGTCCTATAACTCTCTTTCTCTCTCTCCAAAGATAAGGAGTCAGAGGAGAAAATGAACTCCAAGTCTATACCATCAGTGATGACTCCAGATAGTTTGACCTTGGTTGATGATTTTTTGCTCACCATCATTCTTAGAAATCCAGTTGAGGTCTGGGTTTCCACTGGAGAACCTTTCTTGCCTTTGGATAGTAAGTCATGGAAGAAAATGAATTTTTTTATTGTTACAGCAGCACCTAAACTGGGGAAATTGTTATGCTGATATATCAATACATTGGCTAGGATCCAGAGAGCTACTTTTCTTGACTATGCTTGATTTCTGGTTCCTTTCCATTGAATGCGCTACCACCCCTTAATACAAACTGTCTTTGAAACTGGTTCAAAGTGGTTTGCAGTGCAGGCTGTGTACATTCTGTTAAAGAAGCCCTCTTCGGCGCACAGAACTAGTTTCACAGTTGGGATCCAAAAAATCATAACTCTGTAAAATGAGAAATAATAAACAGGCTATTATCATGGACAAAAATGCTACTGTTGCAAATCATTTTATTAAATATACAAAACAAACTTTTATTACTGTCATACGAATTGTATGAATGTCCTCACAGAAGTAAGGCCCCCCCCTCGGTTCAGCAGACCCAAATCCATATAAGTATGAATAGGATTGCACTATTAAAGTGGTGCTTAATTTTTAAATGTAGTAGTCTGCTTTTTCATTCCATACATATTCTACAGAGACTTTCTTAAGCTTTACAGTATTTTCAGAGAGAGTTCCTTATGAAGAAGCTTACCTTTTAATTACATGTTTATAATTGGACTTGCTAATAGTATCTGGTTCTTTAAAATGCTGAAACAGATCCAATTATGCTAACTGTTAATCTTTACAGACCTGCAGGTACAAAATCACTATGAAACAAACTGTAGTCAAAACAATGTGTATCTTGCTTTATTACAGCTTTGCAAAATGCAGAAAGGGAAGGACGACAAAAATGGTCAGAGAAAGATAAAATTCTGGCAGACCTAGATGCAATGAAGCACAAAATGAGACAACTACAAGGTCAGTATCTCAGAATTCAGGGTCAATGGCAGAATTCACTGTTATCATGTTCTCTTCCCACAACATAATAAATAAGCACATTTAGCTTTATATTATCCCACATGGGGTTCATCCACAAAGCGCTTCTTTCTCATGTGGTTCACTCTGGGCTATATATGCACAGTATATTATTGTTCTTTTCAGTTTGAGGCATTAAACTAACATTCCCCGAAAGGATAACATAGTGTAGGATTTCCTATGCCCATACTAGTCTTTCCATCATGTGTACTGTGCAGTCTGGGCTTGGCCTGCAGTTCCCAAATCAGGGCTTTTGATGGTCATGGTATTAACACAGACACAGTATAGTATGATTTGCAAGAAGTAAGTTCAGGTACCTACCCCAATGACTAAAATCACATGTTAGCGAGCACATTTGAACTGGAGTTTTTAGAAGGGATCATCCATACATATTCCATTCAGATTTTCACTTGATAAATCTATATTGTTAGTTTATAAACTGTTTCTGAACATATGGATGCAATGCTTCTGCCTCATCTGTACTGAAGAATACATTGAGTTAGGGGGAAAATGTTTTCTCAAATACATAGTCTTGTCCATATTGTTGACATGGAACATCATATTTTATATTATGCCTCTACAACTTGCTCTAGCTAATCTTAGCCACCCTGTGCACTTATTTCTGAGGACAATAATTTAAGGCCTGAATGATCATCTGACGTTGTTGCTTTGACCCCCCCCATCTGTTTTTAGAGGGAAGCTAAAATATACGTATTTATCACTATGTGATAATTATATCATTGGGTTTAATTAAGCTTCACTCAGTAACTGTAGTTCTCTACCCTAGAATCTGGTTAGAAAACCTGTAATCCATAGATCTTAAATGGCAATTTAGCATGAAAGTGTGTGGGTCGGTGAGATATACAACAATAGATTATGAAGATACTCTCTGTACACCAAGAATTACTTCCTCTAGAGCTTTTCCGTCACCCTGCTGCATCTCATCACTCCTGTCAGAAAAAAACTTGCGGGAGCATCAAATAGCCACCAGAAGACTTAGAGCCATTCAAATAAAACACTCTGATTTATTTATTTAAAGAATAACTCTTTGGGCCATCCTTGTTTTAGGGCGGCGCATAGCAAAATCTAAAGCAGCCAGTTTGGTGCCCACTAAGAGCCCCCTCCAGCCTGTGGTTGTAGAAGGAGGCTGGACTGAGGAAACTCAAGAAGAGATGAGGCTCATGGAAACCATACAACATACAGAGGTATGGAAATGCACTTTCTGCTGGGTAGTTTGACTGACTACTAAGGCTGTCACATTCTATCAACACAAAAATTATGTAGTGACTACTTGAACCAACTATTCATTCAAACTACAGCTCCTGTGTTTAGGAGCAAGGTGAGAGTAGAAATGTTCATACTTTTACATGGGAAGAGATGAAGAAATAAGAGTAGAATTGCTCTAGGCAGAGAAATTGGCTTCTTTGCCAAATATTTTGGCTACCATTTTTAACTTCCCACAAATATCCAAATGATTCCTGAGAGGAGTGAAATTTACCTGCCACTGCTATGAGGTACCAGTCGCGAGTTCAACATTCATTCCCAAAGGGATATTCTGTTCTTCAGACAGTAGAGTGGCTTCTGACTTCAACACGCAATCACTATGTTGAACGGAGCAATGTAAAACATTTCTTTGAAGTATTCTAAAGTACAAAACTATAAATGTAAGTTGAATGTACTTAATAAGGCATAGTATGTACTTGAAACATATAAGAAATAGCTTATTTAATCATTAATTTATTAAAATATTTAAATACCAGCTTCTATGAAAACATCTTAAGGTAAAGGGACCCCTGACTGTTAGGTCCAGTCGCAGACGACTCTGTGGTTGTGGTGCTCATCTGCTTTACTAGCCAAGGGAGCTGCAGTTTGTCCGCAGACAGCTTCCAGGTCATGTGGCCAGCATGACTAAGCCGCTTCTGGCGAACCAGAGCAGCGCACGGAAACGCCGTTTACCTTCCAACTGGAGCAGTACCTAATAAAACCCATTGAAATACAATAACAACAAGGCCTGGTTCACATATCATGCTAAACCATAGTTAATGGTTTACTTGGTTTAACATTAATGAGACCCCAGTCAAAAGTCCCCACTTCACTCCTTTCACTCCTGGTTGCACCATATCAACAGCAATGGACCACAAGCTTTGCCTCATTGTGTCATCCAAACCTAGGCATGTGATTTGATTCTCACCAAGCAAATCACAAGCAGTAGTCAAGGCTTCTTCTTGCCTTACCACTCACTGTTTGGGAAAAACAAACCACAAGGCCAGTCTTGGATGAAGAAGAAGAAGAGAAGAAGGGTTTGGATTTGATATCCCGCTTTATCACTACCCGAAGGAGTCTCAAAGCGGCTAACATTCTCCTTTCCCTTCCTCCCCCACAACAAACACTCTGTGAGGTGAGTGGGGCTGAGAGACTTCAGAGAAGTGTGACTAGCCCAAGGTCACCCAGCAGCTGCATGTGGAGGAGCGGAGACGCGAACCCGGTTCCCCAGATTACGAGACTACCGCTCTTAACCACTACACCACACTGGATGATATGACAAGCCAAGGCTTCTTGGTTGTAGCTCCAGCAGAGCACATCCAGAGCACATCCAGGAGAAAGAACACAAACTATGGTTTGTGTTAAATCATAGTTAATCAATAACTATGGTTTAATATGGTGGGTGAATATATGAAAACAGCAGTATTAACAGTCAGTGCAAATGTTACAACAAATGACTGGCATCAGTAGTCAGCAATATCTTCAGCAATAGGACAGTGCAAATGTTACAAATGTAACAGCCAGTGTAAATGTTACAACAAACGACTGGCATCAATAGTCAGCAATATCTTCAGCAATAGTACTATTTTAAAGATATTATCACACATGAACTTCATGACTTGTGTTTTATATTAGATGCACCTTTCAGAGCTTCAAGCATTACAATTCAAAAGAACTTCTCCATTTTCTCCTAAACTACTGGTGAAAAGTCACAGAGAGCTCTACAGGCAGCCAACAACTAAAAGAGTGTGGGCTTATGTGAATGGATTTGCACCTGAGCAAGGAGCTTATGCCTGGGGGCAAACAATTGCAGAGGTAAAGCAGAAGAAATCTCTCATTCAAAATAGTGCTTCTAAAGACCATTGTATTTAGTGCCCACAAACCCAGGAATGAAAATGTGAGACATGGATGGAGTTTAAGGTCACGAATTTATTAGAGCCAAAAATCTTCGACCAAATAAGATACAAATATGTTGAGCCATGAAATCTGCACATTGGCTATTTCCCCCCAATATACGCAGAGCTTGGGCATATTCAGTATTTTCTAATACATCTCCCATTTTGTTTTATTCTACCCCGTGCAAATTGTGAGGTCTCAATCCAGTTCTTGACTCTCAGGCAAAAGAATGTTTGGGTCCTATTCTACTAAGTTGTTGCTTGACGGAAGCCAGCCGTCACAAATGGTGCACAGCATAGAAAAACACACAGAGAGACAGCAATATTTTCATGGTGGAGGGCAGCTCATTCGAACTTCTCTCCTCTCCGGTATATTTTTATTATCCTTTGTCTCTCTGCCTGCATGGCCGTCTGCCAATGTCTCACGTTACATGCCCAATCATGGCTTTACAACACCCATCACCATATAAGGTAATTACTGCCCAGAGGGGGAACATAACTCCATATAAGGTTATGCACTTAATACACTGCAAGGCACGGACATGCAGGTCAGCGAGGTCAGCGAGGCACCAGGTGGCGCTACAAGCCTTTGCCATGGCTTCATGGCTCCCACAGTTGCGCTAGTGGAAGGCCACACAACAATCTCTGCTAGAACAACAGGACCTTCTCTCCTTCCCATGCCAGCCCCCATGCCCTCCCCAAAACTTCTCAAGAGGGTTTGGGAGCACCCCCAGAACAGAGACAGAGGGAAGAGAGGGGAGATTGTTCTGGCAAGCATAAATCTTTGTGCTGCTGGAATGATCATCTTAGCATGGCGTTGAATTTCACGCTTTGTCAATAGTAACAACAATAATAAAAATAATATTAGGAATAATAATAATAGAAATTCAAGACCATGTCCAACACATTGTATATGCATAACACTTGCCTTGAAATTAGCCTTACTTGGTATGCACCTCTGTTCTCACTAATGAATTGGAAGCCAGTATTTTCTAACCTGCAAGATGAACTTGCAAACCAGCATGGACCATTGAATACTAATGCAGTTTTTATGTTTCAGCTACTTGACAGTTGTACAACTCAGCTAAAAATGCCACAACCTGCAAAGACATTGTACACACCTGATGGTGAGCAGCTGCAGGCATGGGATGAAATAGAAAGAGACATGATTGTTTGTGTTTGCACAGGCCATCCCTTTATGAGCAGAAAAGGTACATTTTCTGAAGGATATTTTTGTAGATAAGAGATATGTCTTATGTTTCTAAGAGGTGGGTGGGCTGGAAGTCTGGTAGTCTGGATGGCAGCCATGGCCAGGTGTGATTAGCAAAACTCTCCCTGGCCATGTTTGATATGCACCTGACCAGATATAGATATAGCTATAGCTATAGATGATATAGATGATATAGATGATATAGATGATATAGATATATAATGAATCCGTTTAACTTGAGGGTTATTTTGAGTTGAAGCCCTTTTGTACTCCATTGATGACTCTAGAACACTTGCCACTGTCTATTTCCCCTTCACTTAACACAGAAGAGACACGACCAATGATTCAGGTCTGATAACAGTCACTATTTTTATTTATTTTTTTAGTGATGGACTATGTGGGTCTTGGGGAAAAGGGCAATCCTAATCCCATGCCACCCCTATATATACTCAGCACAACATAGGATAATTTTGGTGCCCCACCACAAGTCCTCACCATAGCAAAAAGCAGTGGCAGAGAGGATTGTGCATAAAAGAGTAAAGGCCCATGTGATATATCTGCAGCATAATACACAATATTTTTATGTAGTCATGCACATAATTATTTCATTTATGAATCGCTTCCTATGAAGCATCTAAAAGTTGTTTCACAAAACAATAAAAGTATATATATATATATAAAGTTACATATATAAACATAGTTAAAACAATAGCATATATAAAAACAGTTAAAATGATTACATATGTGAAAATAATTTCAATCCAATACAGATCATGTCCAGGATTAAAACCTCCATTTAGAAGACTTGCTGGAAGAGGAAAGTCTTCAAGAGGCACTGAACAGATAATAGGTGCCTTACTGATATGTAGCGAAGTATAAGTGCCACCACACAGTAAAGATCTGATTCCAACATCATGTGGAAGATGGCATCTGCAGGACGCCCCCTTTCAAAGAGTGCACTGATCAGTTGGGTATATGAGGGGAAAGACTTTTTTAGTATCCCGATCCCAAGCTTTGTAGGGCTTTGTATATCACTAGCACATATCAAATGTAGCTCAGTGGCTAACTGGCAAAATTAGGGGAGGGGGGAATCCATGCAGATAAGGTGAACATTGACATTTCCAGGAGATTCCATTTGTATCTACATCCGCTTCCCAGACTTCATGGCATTCCTAACAGTCCCAGTCCAGAAATAATCTACATCCATTGATTAATTCCAAACTAGAATCACCCAACCCTATTTCCATATCCAACTATTCTTATAACTTGTCCATAAACGAATATAAGACTTGAAACGTATGACGGTAACAACTTAAATTATACATTTGCATGTTGTAAGAGATTGGTAGACAAATAATTTTCAAAACTGAATTTTAAAACTGTTGTTTCAGCCATGAAACATGAATTGGAAGTTAGAGCTCTTTATGCCAGAATTCGGAAACAGCACGGTCCAGAATCTACCAACATTATTGTCTTACCATCAGAAAAAGTTACCGGGAAGGTTGTATCATAAAATTTAAATAATAGTACCACATACTATATAATTGACTGTAAATTATGTTGTATTACTAGTAGTCATTGATAGCCTTATCCTCCATGAATTTATTTTATTCTTTTTTAAAGCCAACTGAGGCACTGGCCATCATTAACTCCTGTTAGAGTGAATTCCATGGTTAAGTATGTGCTGTTTGAAAAAGTCATTCCTTCAGTCTGTCCTGAATCTTCCCACTTTCAGCTTAATTGGATTTCTCTTTGTTCTAGTTTCACCAGAAATGGAGAAAATCTCTCTATCCACTTTCTCCACACCTCTATCATGTCATGCCTCACTTGTCTTTTCTCTAAGCAAAAAAGCTCCTAATGTTTTGACTTTCACACATAGGGGAGTTGCTTGATCATTTTGCTTGCCCTTTCCCCCTACCTTTTCCAGCTCCACAGTTCCCTTTTGGAGGCGGAGGCAACCAGAATTCTATGCGGTCTTCCGAGTGTGGTCTCGCCACAGCCATAAACGCAACACAGTTATTAGCAGATGGCGCAGAAGGCTCTTAGCTGAAACTGATTAAGGATTTCCCTTATGTCACTTCTGTTGCGAAGGAGATCTCACTGGGAGTAAATCATAGCTAGGAACTCCATTTCTGGAGCAATTTTAAATATTTCAAAATAATTGGACAGAAACTGTATCTTCACTCAAAGAAAAAGAATCAAGGGAGAACAAATGTCTGAAGTTAATTGTTGCAGGACTGTCAAAGCCACTAGAGGGGGAGTTTATTTCACTGACTTACTAGGTAAATTTTTAAAGACAAGTGATTATACAATAGAGAATCTTTGAACAAAATTCTTTGTCCCTGACATTGTTGGTTAATATTTGTTGCCTTTAGCAAAAAGACTGTTTACCCATAAGAAGTTCACAGTTAGTTCCATGTGGATAATTGGAAGGGGAAAAAAGCTTTCTTTACATCATTCCTCACAAATAGCACTTACTGAGAAGGTCTACAATCTACTCTCATAACTGTGTTCAGTGTGTGGAAACTTCATCCTGTAAACTAGGATACTTTACGTATAGTAAGCCATATATAAACTGACTAAATAAAATAATAAATAAAAACGATGACTAGTTACAAAATAACTTGAGCAAGCCAGTCCCTCTTCGTTGTAAAATATGTCTAACTTTATTTTTCTATAAGCTGAATAATATATTATTTTCATAAATTAAATATGGGACTAAGGGACAATTCAGCTATTAGAATTTTGCATGGATTATTTGCAATATCCTGTTCATGGAAAAATGTGTGCTATGGTAACACACAAGAATGATGACTGATTCACACAGCCATATTTCTTTTTTAAAAAAGTGGTGAGTTGGTGAAACCATACATGTGGCCAATCTTTTGACTGCTCTGATATGTGTTGATATTTACAGCTTGCTAACCTTGGAAACTTTCAGGTGAAACATGATCTTAACACATGTGAGATGTCTATTGAGGTATTTATATCACCACTATATCAGATTTGTGCCATCACCCATCCCTAACAGATCTGTCCAATTCAAAGAGTATTTTGGAGTTCAAAACATTTTCATGGCTCTGTTGTTGCGTTGGTCCCCTAAATTAAATTATTCACACAATGTATTTTCCCATTCACACAGGGACTAAAATCACTCTTGCGTCTTGAAATGTAACCTAGTCACTAAATAGGTCAGTCCTGTCAAGTAAATTTAGTACTTGCTCTTACCAATGCATCTTTTAAAAATATTATCTAAAATAGATTCTAGGGCTGCTTGATAAGAATTGAATACCACTCAATTATCTAAATACCTGATTATGTCAAATGTCTTCTAGCCTCCCCAATTTTTAATAAAGTTAGTAATTTCCGGTCATTGTACCTTATTGATTTGAATCAATTATTTCATTCCACACACCCCTTTAATATCAGCAGGACTCCTTTTTATCATTAAGCTGAAGTGCCACCAAACATCTCTGATCCTGGCAGCTTTCTCTGAGAAATGTAATTTCTGCTGCTATGGAAACATTAAGGTGATGCAAATGAAAATCAGGAGTGACAAACCAATGACCATACTATGTACAGGGTGTTCTCTGGAGAACTCTGCCAGTCTGCACATTCCATAGGAAGATTTTTCCTTAAACAGTTTTTTAAAATCCGTAATTAAAATGTTGACTTAATAGAGAGTTTTCTTGCACGTTGTTTTAAAAACAAAACAAATACAATTGACTCTGTGACTGTTTTCCTTCCTTCCTTCCTTCCTTCCTTCCTTCCTTCCTTCCTTCCTTCCTTCCTTCCTTTCTTCTCCCTTGTCTACATCACTGCTAGCATTGTTTTGTTAGAAATTGTGTTGAACTAGTAGAGTCTCACCTCACTTCTCGTTTTAAAATTCCAACTAAAAATTGTGGATCTATTTTGTTCCTTCAGCATCATTGAAAAAGAACTTTGCCTTGGTTAACAACTTTGTCAATTGTGGGCCAAACAACTGATGACGTTAATGACATGGTTTGCCTCTGAGTGCAATGCAGGGGCCCTATACAAAATGGAACCGTGGCATGGAGTTAGGGAGACTGCAACCCTGGGTTCCTCATGTGGCCTCACTCACAATCAGGGGTCCCGTGGCTGCTATTTGCATGAGAGTTCCCCACCCCATGCAAATAGCCGTTGTGGAGAACCCAATCTTGATTGGGACTGGAGGGCAAAAGGTTAAAGCTCTCCAAGCATTCACATCACACACTGGCTATTTGTGAAAGAAAAATGCTGTTCTCAAGGGATAATCACATTATTTACATCATGTGTAAAAGTATATACACATTTACTGATTAAACAGACAAAAAGGAAACAGGTGCATGCAACTATAGCCAATTGAGCCCCATATTCTTGGTCTGGAGAGCCTTGTTCTTCCATCACCTTCACCATGCTGAGGTCACATGTACCAAGTTGGTATCAGATCTTCCTCCTTCACATTCCTGTGTCTCTGTACTAGTCCCTACACCCCTGCATGGTAGAAAGTAGACCTCATCCATTGCCAGTTCCATTGCATTCAGTGTGCTGGAGCATCAGAGAATGTGAGAGGGGACCCACCACCCTCTCTCCTCCTTCTGCTGCTGCTTTCTTTCCATTCTCTGCAACACCAGAGACTATGCCACTCCTCCCTTTTTCACGTCTCTGAGTCTATATTACAAGGTACAGCAAGCTGCAGACAGTAAGAGATTAATAAAGAGCATCAGCAAGTGGAATTAAGAAATGTTCTTGATTATTTTAATGGCAGAGTGAGGGTGATTGCAGGCCCTGTAGCTGCACTGAAGAGGAGGCTATTTATTTTGGGTACCGTAATCTCTGGATAGGCTATTGATGGGGGAATAATAATAATAATAATTATATAATTATAATTATAATAATTATTTATACCCTGCCCATCTGGCTGGGTTTATTCTGGGGGAATAAATGGATGTGTGTGAGAGTGAGAGAATCAAAGACAAAATGAAAAAAAAATAGGAAGGTGGCTTGGGGTTAGCTCTGGGATTGTCCACTTTTGATTTTGGCTTCAAGCACTGGTAGTATGTGTCCCAAACTACTTTTCCTCAATGGAACATGGCTCTCAATTTTAAAAAAAAGCCTCAACTTTAAAAAGGTTGCCCCTGTCCCAGAAGACTGCAAAACCAGGAAGACACTTGAGTTACTGGAGATCCGTCATATGAAGCTGGTTAGCTTGGTGGATCAGAAGTTGCTGTACTTTGTCTCTCTGTATGTGGAAGCTCTGTATTAAGTCATGCTGTGAATGCATTCAAGCATTCAAAACATGCAGGGCAGAAGAAGTGCAAGTAAGGCTAAGCACACTGGAGAATTTAATGTCTTATGTTCCCTTGAAAAAGCTCGGTGTGCAAAAATGACCCTGGGAGGAAATATTTTAAATAAAAAATTACTGCAGAATATGTAGCAGAATAGTTTTAGACAGTATGACTGAAGTCTTGGCAACATCATGATTCCTGTGAATTTCTTTTTTAAAAAAATGCAGCAATATTAATAGTGACTTTTAAAAATATATACAGGTCAACACAAATGGCAGTCTTCTGGCTCTTACATGCAGAACTGATCAGCATTCCAACGACTAGGTAAGTAGTCATTGACGTTAAAAAAAATCTAGTTATTTTAGCCAGTGCCAACTCAGACTCATGAGGCATTCCATCCCTTTCAATAAATGTCGCTAAATCACAAGTAAATGTTCTTAGAATGTTTTAACTTGCTATTCAATTGATATCACTTGTATTATCCCATAGGTTTGGACCTCTGTATTTCCTAAACAGCACCAGTTTTAAAATCATTTCTTATTTTGCCATTTCTGTAGTCACTTCCATTGCAGCCAGTTTGAATTGCATTGGTAGGAAGTGATGTTGCTACTCCACAGTTAAGAATGTATCTTCCTTTAGAGAAGTGACCATGCCTAACCCCACACATTTTCCAGGAGAGCTGCATTGGGGTGGGGTCGTAACAAACATTTAACATATCTTGGCACAATCTGGCATAGAGTCAAGCATGTTTAAAACCATGGTCTATAATGCACTTAATTCTGCTAGTTTGTGACCAGTGGTGTGTGTGTGTGTGCTATTACACAAGGGTTCAATCTTTCACAGAATGCATGGAACTTGCATTGCAGCAATGCTACTAGGAATACCACCCACCACCATTTTAAAAAAAATATGGGGGGGGCGCTATAAATAATTCAGAAATTAAATTAAAAGGAAAAAATTCCTATGTAAAAATCGCATAGAAAAGTTGTTTGCTCTCTGGTGCCATCTGGTGTTGCATGCTTATAACGCATTCAAAGCATTGCTTTTTGACTAATGTAGCTGAGTCCTTGGTTTAGCTCTGCGGGCCTTTGCTGCTAATGCATTTTAGTGTTGCTAAAATGTATTAGGTTGGTATCCGGATTAGTTAACAAATGTTAATGGTTTCAGATGCATCATGTATTTTTCTGTCCCCTCAGTGACCTTTGGAGAGTGAAAGCCAGAGACTAATCCATGCCAGGCAGACCACAGCTTATGCAGACAATTCTTTTTAATGAATGCCAGGGACTGCAGTAGATAAACAATAGCTCCTTTCCTCTTAGTCTTATTCAGGATCACATTTTACAGTTGACTCTGGGATCTGTCCCATGATGATAAATTCCAGAGCCTAGAAGCCTACACTCCCAGTCTGGTCAGGATAGCATGGTTGCCCTCTGTTCAGTTCTGCACCCAGATGGACCCACCACAGAACTACTTTCTCCCTCCACTATCCTCATCTTCTGCCCATGCATTCTATTTTTATCAAGAATTCAGGAACCAACCCTACTTGAGTGTAGTAAAGTGGGTGTTGATCTATGCATTCGCACCGAGTTATCTGACCATCAGTCCAAAAAATATACCATAGTAGTTGAACAATCTCCACCTATTTCTGACTCACAATTTTACGTACGTCTGTAAATGCACTGAGCTTTCGCTAACTGGCAATATCTCCCTTAGTTAAGCAGTGAAACCAATAACTTTCTCATCCATAAAGTCCTAGCTTCACTCCCGCTTTTACAGCACTGCCTCAAAGGAACTGTAAGCACCTCATATAACCATTCAGTGGAATGTGTGCTGGGGAGTTGCGGGTTGGGGAAGTTCAGCTTGCAAGCTGTTCCAGGCCATATACTTGGAACGTAACCTGACCACAATTAAGTGTCGCTCCAATTTTACAGTTTGCGTGTAAAAAGAGCTATCCACTTTTATCCTTTTGTAAAGTTTTATTTCTTGTAGCTATGGACAATGTTCACTGTCAAGAAGGAGGAACCTGAAATATTAAAGGCGGACAGTGAGTTCCAGAATTAAGCTTTTTGCTGGTTAGCAAATTGCTTTGAGAAATATGGATGTAGGAACCCCACAAGAAATAGCTATATTTTCTTTTAATGTTGTTGACCATAGACTCTCTTACATCTATGGATTTTCCCAGAATAAAGGCGGAATCTCTCCCAAGCAGTCTATCTCAACTGTGTTTTACATCCCTTTTGCTCTGCTGGAACAGCCAACAGCATTTAACATGACACCTGTTTTTTTTTAAGGGAACATCATAACACTTCCTGGTATTTTGCACCATATCATTAAAGATCACTAAACTTTTTCTTTGCTGTTCCTGTCTCTTTTTAATGTCTGCCTTTTCTTGCTAACAGTAAAGACCAATATTAATGGAAAACCCATTAAAAAAACTATTATCCAATGAAGAAAAAGTGAATGCACTCAAGTGTAAAAGGAAGACTTATCGATCAATTTCCAGCTAAACCTGGCTTGCCTGACACTTTGCAACAGTGGAATGTGTTTTTATTGCATGGCCAGGTAGTTCAGATTTCCGGTCATTTTTAGTAAAGACCCTTTTTATAACGTGGATAAAATTTTATCACAGAGCTATGAAAAGAAAATTAGGCTTCATAAGTCACATAGGACCTTGAAGAAACTGCTTCTATAAATTTTTTAAACATTATCAAACTTAATGCACCTGTTCTGACAAATTAGTGTTTATCTTCCCCCTCCCGTAATTAACTAACGGATTTCCTTTTCCCCCCTCTCCTTTTTCCCATAAAAGAAGAAATTCTTTGGCTATCGGTGAATATTACCAGAAAACTGAAACCTTATCTGCAGATTTTAATTAATCGAATATATAAGTTGAATAGATTTTTGTGGTCGTTTCAACAACATGCCCACACTGGCTTATGTAAAATGTACAATGACAATATTTCATTGAGTTGACTTTTCTCTGACCTCTGCACAATATACTGGTTTTGGGAAATCAGTTAGTATGTGCAGCAGTTTTGAATGTACTGGAAATGCTGAGCAAAAAGGAGACGTATATCTTATGCCACATGAAATCACCAGAATTTGATGTTGTGTTCTCAGTGGTTTCCGAGCTACATGTATTAGTGTCACCTCTCAAACTAAATCAGCAATTTGAAGGTTATGGCTATTTAAAATAACTTTTAGTGCCTCTTAAGTACTTATGTAATTATAAGTTATCATTTAAATTACAAACTATTGTTATGTATTTTGGAGATCTATATTTCTGTCTGAATCTTTGAAACAATTTATAATATTCCAATTACAGTTTGTCATAAAAAACCTATAAAACATTAAAGTTATTTTTAGAGCTATCTCTGGATTCAGTGTCCTTCATAATAAAAAGTTTTGACCGAAACTACATGCATTCAATGATCCATATGATTATAGGGAACAAAAAGGACCCCATTAAATGCAATAGACAGCAGCAATCTGTGCAAGCAAAGGATTTGGCTCTGCCTTTGAAATTAATGGAGGAATTCATTTTAGGCAGCTGTGCAACTGAATTTCTGCTCCTGGAATAGAAAAAAAAGCAGCCCAATACAATCTTACAAAAATATGTGTTTGTTAGAACACATACTTTGAATACAGAAGGTCCCATGTTCCATTCTTTGGAATCTAAGTTAAAAGGGATCAGACAGCAGGAGATGGGAGCCAAAAGCTCAGCTTGATGGACAGAGAATTTGACCTGCTCTGAGTCAGCTCTTACATTCTTAAATGAGGGCTCGTAGCAAAACTATATGGCTAGAGTTATATGGTGACAAAGAATGCTTTTTATATCAATCACCTCATATTTTCATGAATTTGAGAAGGCTTCCATCTGACCACATTCTCTTTTTGAAGCCTGCTGCATCAATAATACAATGCCTCTGCTTGGTTGGAAGGTTCTGAAGGCTTTCTGGTTGAGGGAGGGGGATAAAGAGAGATATTAATACAGTGGTACCTCAGGTTAAGAACTTAATTCATTCTGGAGGTCCATTCTTAACCTGAAACTGTTCTTAACCTGAGGTACCACTTTAGCTAATAGTATCACTCCTGCTGCCGCCACACGATTTCTGTTCTCATCTTGAAGCAAAGTTCTTAACCCAAGGTACTATTTCTGGGTTAGCGGAGTCTGTAACCTGAAGCGTCTGTAACCTGAGGTACCACTGTAGCTTTGTCCTGAATACAAAAGTGCTTTGGCTAGAGGGGCAAGTTCTCCTGTTTGTGCTATCAAGTGTGATTTAAGTAGAAATAAATCAATAAACTAGAGATGCCATGTTTTCATTAAAATGGCATTTGATCTCATTAGTTTAGATTATGATGAAAGTGCAGGGGATGTATTAGCCCAGTCACTCAAGTGGGAACAAATTTGTTTTCATTCCTGGCATTCTGCAACTGGTTATTTCTAGAAATAAATTTCTAAAGTGGAGCATTTCTGCTTTGCAGAGCAGGATCAAAAGATGGAGGTGCTACAGTTCAGTCACAGACCATATGTTTACATGTGGAAAGTCCCAGGTTCATAGGAAGATAGGAAGCTGGCTTATATTGAGTCGGATCTACTCAATCGATCTCAGCGTTGTCTATGCCAGGAGTAGGGACTCCTCCAAAGAGCCCAGCTTTGGCCTGCAAGATCATGTTTCACAAACCACACCTGCCATCAACTGACATCATTGGACGATGTCATCTGATGAGCAGGGTTCAATCCTGCCAAGTGCTGCTTCGCCAGTTTGTTCCCTGGCTGCAGGATTGCGCTCTGCAGTCACCAGCTTCAAAGTGGGATCCAAAATGAATCTTGTGGTTGTGTGTGCAAACCCTTAATAAAAATGTTAGATAAAATTTGTGAGCGTCTAAACCTAACAGCAGAACGTTGCTGAAGTTGCTGGCCTCTCGCATATTTTTTGTAACCTTAGGCTTTTCTGTCCTGCAACTTCGCATCTGGAAATGCAGAATCCAACTTAAAATATTAAGTTGTTTCAAATGCAACTTTCACCACTAGGTGGTGCCTTATCTCACCTAAATCCCAATGTCTAGGTAAATACAAATATTATAAAGGTATTTTTTGCCACACACCCATTTTTTCAAATATACTAAATAAAATGAAGGAATACAGAATGGGGTGGGGAAAAATTCTTTCCAGGAAAATAAGGATTTGCTCTAAGCCTTACTGCAGTATGTGTGGATATAGGATTGCCATTTATAAGCCCTTTCTCTTTTCCAGCATTTATCTTTTTAAAAAATAAAAATAAAATCCAAATTTGAAACCTTGTTAGAATGTCAGAAGTTTGCAGGTGGGGGGAAAACTCAGAAAGAAAGAAAATATGGTACGCCTTTCCAAATCCCAGGTCTCCCACTCTCAATATAATTGAAGACAATATCAAACCGTATGTGGCAGTTCTTATATACCATCAATTGTCAACTTCCTTCCGTAGCATAATACGTTCTATTATCATCAGATTTTAAAGAGAATAAGGGTGCAATCCTGAATTGCCCCCCATGAGCTTGGTGTGGATTTATGGAGCGGTGGGACCACCACCACAGCCCTGCCACATGGCAGCTAAGACAGATGTTGTGGGGCATGCAGACTTGGGCATAGCCAGGATTTTTGTTGGGAGGGGGGCAGGCTTTTTCTTAGGGGGCAAAACCTCAGCTATGTATTTTTATTGATTTTTATTGATTTAGGGGGGCAGCTGCCCCCTCTGGCTGTGCCCATGGATGCTGATTTCTGTGCCAGCCAAGACATCCTGGGCCAGCTCAGCCCTCAGGTGCCCTCAGTACTATCATTTAGGTACCATGCAATAACATTTCAGGACTTTAAAGAACTTTTAAAGCATTTTTAACTTGCAGTAGTCTTTATTTTTTGATTGCTGCTGTTTTAGTTTGTTATGTTAGTGTTTAAGCCACCACAGGAACTTCAATTTATGTGGACAATACAAGATAAAAAAGGATGTAAGTATTGACTAGATAATTATGGGATAAAGAGATGTGATTGCAGGGCCACACAGTTCAAATCTTGGACAAAATGAGTGAAACTTTTTAGGAAACATTAAAGTGAATGGTTTGCACTCAGCCATACATTCAATAGGTCTCTCTAGTTCTTTATCCATCTACCTTCAAAGTCAGTTGAAACATAGTGCCTGCAATCCAGCAATAGGCACACTAGTTTCTTTCAAATACATTTGTTTATCATGCACTCTTACAGAGAGGATAAAGTTACCAGTTGTTGTCACACACACACACACACCATAGCTGTCAACGTTTCCCTTTTTCTAAGGGAAATTCCCTTATTCCGAATAGGATTCCTCACAAGAAAAGGGAAAACTTGGCAGCTATCACACACACACACACACACACACACACACACACACACACACGGAGAGGGGGCATTGATTAAGCTATTACGATATCGTGAAATACTCCCAAATATTTTGACACTTTGGGCTGAGTTTTTAGCAACAGAACATTTACAATTAGTGTGGCTGATAAGAGGGATTTGGCTAGAATAAAGTTCACAAAAAGCCTGGGCATAGACAAGAAGAGGAACGTAGCATGAAGTAGCCAAAGAGAAAGGGAAGAAAGGAAGGGCATTGACAGGAGCAAGCCAGGAGTAAATCACACCAAGCAAGTTGGAGTTAACTCTTCATTAGCAAAAACATGATCTGCAAAGGTAGGTCCTGCTTCCGTGAAGCACCTGCTGAGACTGAAGGACCCCGCCTCCCCACAGCTGCCTAAGTCCCCTCCTTGCCAGGGTTTCTCCTAAGCAATCTGAGACTGTGTCTGTGTGAAGCTAACTTCTCCTCTGCCCTCTTCATGCCTCTCCTGGTTCTGGGAGACCAGTGGGGAGGGGAGTTTGTTGCAACAGGAGAGGGATACACCCGTGACTCTTCACCAGCTGGACTCATCTCTGCCTCTTGGCCTCCCTCCTCTCCTGCTTCAGCTTCTGCCTGTGATTCTGGATTTCTCTCTGCTACAGGCTCCCCCCACTCACTGAACCCTGTTACTTCCTCCCAGTCCGCTCCCTCTTCTCCCTGCGATCACTCATCATTGTCCCACCACCAATCCCCAGCTTATGAGCCTTCTTCCCGTGCGGGTTCCCCAGCTGGTTCCTGCCACCTTTCCTCTACCTCCAGTCTGTGACAGGCCCACAGGAAAGTGTGGGGGGGAAGGGCCTATGGGAAAGGTGTCTGCATTCTTTTATATTTCTTTTACATGCCGGAATGTAGCGATGATATAAAAAGGAAGTTATTTATGAAAATAAATGCCCCTGATCATACTATCATAAATCCACGTAAGTAATGATTTCAGTGTATTCTACTGATATATGCCAGACATATTCTTCGTGAGGTTGCTACAGTTCAAATCTACACTGGGGTGCACATTGCAAAGACGGTGAAAGCTGACACAAACCTGTAAATGTTACTTATTAATGGCCTCTGTTAATAGCGGGGGGGGGGAGAGCCTGTGTTAAATTGTTCAAATGGCTGCTGTGTTTTAAAGCTGAAATAAATTTAATTCCGGTTGCTTCATGTAAGTGAAATAGGTCACTACCTTTATTTCAGAAAGCTTTCCCCCGCCTTTCACTTCATAGCAATTTGCAAAGTCTTGAGGAACTAAAAATTCTACTCCCTTTCCATTTGGGATTTTAATTATTTTTAAGTCAATGTGGAGATAAACTGAAATGTGTTTATATGTTGCTGAGCTTCAGCAAGACGCCTTTGATTTGAAACCAAGGTACAGCTCTTGCACAGAGTCACCACATTTGAAATGACATTTATTTTCTCTACGATGCTGTATGACCCACTTATATCTGTCCCACACTCCTGCCGAGAGATTTAATGTTGAATGGAGGTGGGGATAAACACTGCCTCCATCCAACAATTCCCCTCCTCTTTCTCTCTGAAGATTCTGTCCTTGTCAAATGTAACACAGCTGCTCTACCTGGGTGAGGCTAGATTTGTCTGAAACAAGGAAATGAATTTCATCCACTGGCACGGGGACATTCTAAATAACAGCCAAATAAGGTTTTACTTAGTGGCCTCCTATGCACCTGCCCAGTAAAAACCAGCTGTTTTCCCCACACCCCTAAATGGTCCATTTGACACTCAAAGGGCTAGCGGCTGATTTGGAAAAGATAATCCAGCTCAGAGATGGATTAACAATGCCGCCTTTTTGCTTTGTTCTGGCAAGGAACGAGCAGCCTTTTCAACATTCCTGGCTTGGAGCTCTTCCATTGCCACTAACAGCTGAGGTGTTTACAGTTCATGGTTTCTAGGGTGACTGTATGTTTACCAATCTCCGA